GTTTAGTGTAAGAAATAATACTGTACACCTCACTAGATGTAAAATTTAAACTGAAATGAAGAAGGATGCAATAGTGTACAGGACTTTTGACTTTACATCCAAGATACATAAAACATTGTACTAAGAGTATTTCAAGAGGCTCGCAGTCTTTTCATCTCATAACAATAAATTTGATCCCAGCTTTCCAGGTCAGCAGCCTTATACAAGTTATGTTGAGGCTTGGACAAGGCCCAACCCTGTTGGGTTACTTGTATAATGTTTCTGCTCCATCTAACCTGGGTTCAACCATTTGTTACTTTGTATTATACAATTTAAGTTTGTATTTTGCTGATTTCAAAAACCCAAATAAACTTTCAAAGTTGAGGATTGTTTTAGCAATTTTCCACTTGGGAAGTTGATATTGGTTACAGTTGACGAATATAAATTCTTTGTACTAAAAAAAGGAAATATAAAGGAAACTCACGTTTTTTACAATATTTTGGATTATTTTTAAGTTCCTGTGGAATTTAAATTTATTATGAATACAGAGTTGTCCAAATTGTGTAAACTATAAAAAGAGCGCAAACAAATTTAAAATCTACCCTTAAATGAGTGAAACATTGAGTTGACGCCAGTACGTTCACTCATCACTCATCAACACTGACTTGCTCTATTTTACCCTATTTCGAGTAATCTTCAGTGTTATATTTGCTCAATAGTTACAATGTTTATCACTTTGTACTGTATTTTGTAATTTGCTAGTACATTGAGGATGGCTTGTTCATATCTGACAACTCTTTTCTTTACTTTTTCATTGTTATTTTGTTCAACCAGCATAGTTACTTGGCAACCCATAAGGCCGATGTTAAATTTCTTAATTTTCAAATGAGTTGTGTAGTGAAATACAAATTTTCCTGAGGTAGTGGCTGTCGTAAATCACGTTTTAGGCCCATAAGTCCCTAAATACAAAATTTAATCAAAATCCTTCCCTGGATTTCGAGATATATATTACAGACAGTAAGACAGACATACAAACAGACATAGCTTGTATATATAGTATATTGCTTTTTTGCAAATTCAATCATAGCCTTTATCTTTTAATTAGTAATGTTCTATAATAAAATAAATAAGTATTGAGTGAAATTTATTTTTAGTCTTTTATGCTATTCTTTCCAAATAATAAATAAATTTGGTAACTCTATAATATTTTCAAAATTTATTCTGCATATTTTAATTTAAGTGTTGAGTACTAAAATTAATTTCATCAGAGTTATATAAATGTTTAATAACTTGGGATGTTTGTAACTTATTATTAAAAATTGTAGATCTTTTCAACTTTACAGAAAAGTGCCTAATTTACTTATGAAAGTGGATATTTTAGTGTCAAAAAGTGTAAAACTATATAGCTAAATTCTAAGTTACTGGTACTATATTTAGGAAACCACTGGTCTATAAACTAGTTGAAGTTTGGTTGTAAAACAACAATTTTATAGAAACTTGCTAGAAAAGGTTTATTGGTTCAAAGGACTCCTGGGAAACATTTGAACCCAGTTAGAAAATAATGACTCTATAAATCCTTGGAATTGGGAAACTTATCTATTTTATAAGTGGAGTGACTGGCAAGTAAAAAACTAGTGGATTCAAGGTTAAAATCTGGTCAAACTTTTGAGGATTTTATCTAAACAATTATTAACTTTATAATTACAAATAATAGTATTTCCTCGTCTTGTCCATAGTGGAATCACTGATTATATTTCCAAAGTTGTACGGTATGTGATTTGTATTGTAATATAGTAAAGTGTAGAAATATTGATTCCACATTGAAAATAATAAATGTTTGTGATCAAAATAATCTAGTTGCCCATGACCTTTTTGTCATGAAAGAGTAAAAAGGAAGGATTTACTTAGTTATAAAATCTGTATTTATTTTTGCTGGTTGAATGTTTACCATTAACTCATTACAAATCCTTGATTGTAGCCCATCTCTGGATAATCGTGTCAATTATATTTTCAGATAAATATATTTATATATCTACACTATTTACATTGTATTTCACAAAATAAAATAGCTTCCTGTTGCTAAGGCCGCAAGGAGCTCTCATAAGTCGGTGAAGGATTTTATTAAATAATCCTCGACAGAGTAAAGACCATTTTCTTTAGCAATTTCCCAACTCATGTTTTAAAATGAAGGATCTTGATTGGTTGAGGCAGAGCATTAAACATCTTGAACTCAAGCACTGGACTGCTATCTTTTGTCAAACTTAGGTGACATTGAGGAGAATGAATATTGGCTATGTCACGAATGTTGTACTGGTGGACCTGGTCTCTTGCTGTATAGCTTTCAAGATTCCTTTTGAACAACAAAAGGGAATTCAAAACAAACTGACCGTGAACGTACGTATGCAAAGTTCAGCAAAAAAACTTTAACCTTCTCAGCCAACATATTTTATTTTTTCCCATTATTGTTATGCATATCATTAACTTTCATGAAAAGCTTATTAATCACTGTTTAAGAGAAAGCCATTAAACTTAAACTGACATTTATTATATATCTACTCTCTGAATAAGGTCTAGGCAAGAACAAAGTATCTGTGTTATATTTTGATTGCCTTTTTGTACTTCTAAAACTTTAATTTTCTTAGGTAAGCTAGCTATGCTCTATAACTTCCAAAAAAGTTCTAAATGATTTTAATGTAAATATTTTCCGATTAAAATAAAAATGCAGATCAAAATCCAAGTTTTAAAATATCATTCAAACATAAATAATTTCAGTGATATGCCTAAATAATACATACGTAAAAATCCAACCCGTCACAATTATTGTTCATTGTTATAAATTTAAAACTAATTACGAGTATAAACCGAAGAATAGATTGACATGTAGAGAACATACTCTTGGAAACTTGAGGAAAGAAATGTAAAGTGGCGAGAGACCTGGAACTCCCCGAACCATCCGAAACACTTCCATCAATCAATACAACTTCTCTCCTGACTCTCAAACATCGCTTTCTTTCTACAAAGTCTAACTCAATTGGGAGTCATTGTTACATCAATTTTGTTAGACCTCCTTCTCTGAGTGTCATGTCATTTTTCGTCTGCTTTCCAAGTTACAAAAATAATTTATGGATTTTTGGTCTTTGAACACATTCTTTGAATATTTTGTGCTATTTTACACTATTTGTGCTGTCGACATGTTTGAACATAAAAGTTGCATTTATTTCAATGTTAAGCAATTGCGGGAATTCCCTTCATGAGCACCCAACGTGTTAAAAGCTCTTTGTATCTTGATTTTCATTATAGGTTTGAAAAATTGAAACTTAAGAGTATTGTCCAATCGAAATTAAAATATTTAAATCATTCTTTTATAATTTAACACATAATATTATCTGTTTAGCTGAAAATCTAATGGATCAAATCTGATGGTTACTGGTTCAATTCCCAGCAAGATCTGGACCCAGATGTCATTTGCCACTGGGCTATCAATTAATGATGCTATCTAGCAAAAGGTCTACATTAGATAAGACCAGGGGATGGATGGTACCCTTACAAATACGTTGAAAAATTCCAATAGCATAGAAAAACAAATAAACAAACACATACGTATACCGTAGCAATGTCATTGCAACAATAAACTGTCAGGTTTAGTTAATGAATGTGTAGCTAAGTTATTGAATTTTGTAGGTAATAGTTTTTAAAAGTAATTCTAAGGAGGAACACCTGGGTTCAGGTTCCTCCCTGTACACCCTGTACTTTTTCAAGTTTCCCATTATTTATTAGTTATAATTATCCTGAAATGTACAGTAACCAGTAAAGATAACATTAATTTGCTTTTTAGCGAATTTCCCTATAATTAATGACCTTTAACTCAATAATATATTTATGAAAAATTAACATTTTTAAAGAAAAATGTTGATAAATTCTGGAAAAAGGATTAATAATTATGTGCCAAGAGTTATAATTTGAGAAATTTGCAAATATTTTCTTCTACTTTCCACAAAACAAAGTTTTATAAAAAACATCTTCAATACAATGGAAGACAATTATTTCAAATTACCAATTAAAAGCATGATTGGACCATGGGAACGGGGTTTTATGAGGTAAAAATTGGTTTTTCTAATTTTTGACCCTCTAAACACAACATTTCCCAATTTCTCTCCAGACCTTTTTAAAGAGCTTGAAAAACAAATAATTTAGTAGGCTATATTAAAGTGTTTTGGTACACTTATTGGTAACGGAGAAAATCAAAAAATTATAAACTTAAAATTCCCATGTTATTCTTATGGAGAATATTGTAAAATGTTGTAGTTTGCTTGTTTATGGGTATATTTTGATCAAACTTGGCAAAGTGATTTATTTTATAGTAAGCTATTAATATTTGCCTAAAAAACCCACTTTATTAGTTTGCTTGAAGCAGCAAACCTAGGTACTCGTTAAACCTAGAGTTATTTAAATAAATTTAATTTAAAATCCAATCAGGAAAATGGAAATTTGCTCAGTCTGCAGGTTTGCTGCAGCGTGGGTATTATTTAATATTTTCTTCCTTGTATTTTCTTTGACTGAAACAGTAATAAAAAAACTTCTTTGGCCACTTTTTGAAACATACTGCTCTTTCTTTATATCGGAATATTATTTTTGACTACGTCAATGGTATTCTAGGTCAATACAATGTTTAATTCATCAATTTGTATCAAGTCACATATCAACATCATAAAATAATTTATTTATAGTAACCCTGATGCTGTATTATGGGCTCATATCAACTGTGCCCTCCCAGCATTAATGTTTTAACTACAAATAATCAATTTTAGGTGGTCCCACCAAACATAACAAAGGGACAAACGAGTTGAAAAACTATATGGACTAATTATAAAGTTATTGTTATGTACTTCTTCTTTTAGCAGCTCCATCAAAATTATCAACATAAGAGTTGAGTTTGATTAATTAACATGATCTGGTACAACTAATCATAAGATTTTGTTAAGTAGGTATTGGCACAAATATTGGTTTAAAATAACAAAATATACATTTTACCATAAAATATATTTTATTACAAATGTAACATAAATCATTTTACAATAGTATACTCTATTAATAAAATTCCTATCTATTTACACTAATTTCTTTGTATTTACAAATTTACATTGATCAGGTCAGGTTATATTATGCTGGTATTATGTGCTGGTTTCTAGCTTTTATACATTTTTTAAACGGAAAAGATAATATTTGTATTGCTTGCACATAAGAAATTAGGTGAATTTATAATATTCCTAATTATTTATCTGACACTAAAACTACCCTAACTAAATTTGCCTTAACTAATACATTAAATAATTAACAAAGAATCAAAATATTTCCCTACCATATTTTTCTTTTGAATTAAATCATGTCCTTTTACTTTTGAATTTTATCTTAATATTCAACGAAGAATACATTTTTGGACATTTAGAAGGACTTTTTGGCATTTTAAATTTAAATGCTACAAACCTTCATTTAATTAAGCTAAACAAAATATATCAATCAATAAAAAATTATTAGATCTTTCTTCAAAAATAAACTATATTATGTTTTGCACTACTGGCATCTATAATATTTAGATTAGTTTTTAACTGCATTGCTAATATAAATTCACTTACAAAAATGTCTAATGTTTTTACATTTGTAAGCCAGTTAATTCAATTCATACCTACTTAACTTGAGTAAAAATATATCAACTTCTCAATAATTATAATAGACATACAAATCAACAAAAAGTACAAAAAACATAGTCATTTTTATATAAGTTTACAAGCACTTTCGTAAATCTACTAATGAAACTAAGCTAAATGAACACATGGTGTCAAAATAGAAGAAGTACATAAAATTACTATGTACAAAACCTACATTAAAATTGTATAACAATAAATAGTTACAGTAAAATATCACATTATTTGTGGTGCTTTTGTAGCATTATGTATAGTATTGTTCGTTATCCTAAAAATAATGGAATGTTGCACCTTACCTAAATTATGATAAAGTAAAATCTGGTACAGTTAAACCTCGATAACAAGTCCCCTTGATAAATGTCATTATCAAATCCCCTTGAATTTATTTTACCCCTCCTAATCATATGTTATTTCAAACCTTGATCTTGTTATTGAAGTTAAACAATTTAACACAACAATGATTTTACATACATTGTTTCAAGGTTAATCATTTACAATCCGTGATTTTGTGTAAAATATAAAAAATTATTTTCATACAAAAAATTATACATAAAAATTATACAATAACAAAATATAAAAAAGATGTATAAGAAAATTTCATCTATATTAATTGTTTATAAACTAACCTAATTTTAACGCTTTAAAAGCACAAGTCTTGTCCAAGTAAATAAGGTAAAATATGTAGTGATGTTGTCATGAAATCAGCTTTAAAACAATAACACTTTTATGCAAATGTCTAATTCTTAAAGTAAACTAAAGAGGAAATAATCAATCAGTACCTACTTATTTAGTTCCCAAGTAATAAATTGTTTTTTTCTTTCATAAATGCACTTTATACAGTATTATAAAACTTAGTAGTCTTCAATAAATCGAATAATAAACTTTTCAGTGCCATTCATTACATTTCGTAAAACTACTTAGCATACTGAATGTTGCTGCTTCACAGATATCTAAACAACAATCATATTTTATTTATTATGCTCAAGAGTTCAAAATTGGTTCAACTTGGGCTCCATTTAACTTTGTTCATTTTATAATAAAATTGGCTATAAACATGGACATTAATAGAATGTCTCCTTCAGTATTCAAAAGTCAATCGTATTTTTTAGAAATTTATGCTCTTGAGTTAAGGAACAAGAGTGATGTTGAAAGGCACTATCATATAAATATAGATAATTTATTTGTGCTTTTGAAAGTATTCTGAAAAGGGATGGATTTTCTCGAGGTTATGTTTACTGATCTCTCATATTAACCTCTGGATTCTAATTTTCTTAGATAAGCTAGCTGATTTCTTTCCCTTTTCAAAATCCTTTTTACAAATTAATTTTCTAAGCAACCATTTGGCTTTTCATTCAAATACAATTTGTGCTTAAACTGACACATTTGTAAAGGCACGTTGCAGTTACATGGCAGTCTCCAAGGGCTGACTCTTGCTCAGCAAGGGTTGGAAGGTCCGGAGGTCGCGGGGGCTTGGCGGTGGCTGGGGGTAGTCTACATCAGTCTCTAGCAAAGTAGCCGAGGAGGGTCGGGGGGGAGGTGCGGGGACTGGCGGAGCCTCATCTAGGTTGGTCTCCAACAAGGCTGCACTCTTGGGCCTCTCATAGAAAACGTTGAAATCTCGCTCCGCCTATAGGATGCATAAGGAATTAATGTGCTTTCCCATCTTTTGAAGGATATTACGAATTTCAGCCTAAGTAGTATTATATTGCACCTCAACATGGGTGCCAGCAGAACATTTTTTCAGAGGGGTTATTTGGTACCTTGTTACGTAAGGTCTGAGAATAGGTTAACCCATCCATTAAAATTTTGATTAAAAATCCCTTCCATTCATCAACATATTTTTGGGCTATCTAAAAGCAAATTGTTCACTTCTTCTTCTCATTAAAAATTCTCTACAAACTTTATGAAGATTTTGAAGTAATCAAAAACATACAAACCCTTCAAATTATTTTTAGATAGTTGTTTTTTGTATGAGTCACTGATCATATTTTTTTAGTCCTACTAATTAATTGTAGATTGATCCGAGACCGCTAATAATGTCCGCCAAGTGTTTGGGGATAGAAAATGTGTATAAGGGGGTTAAGAGGGTTCTGCTGTGCTAAACAAATTTGCACAAGCTAATTTGTCATGTGGATTGCTATGTAACTAAACAAGAGATGGCAAAACTGGTAAAGGACGTCTCTGTTAGACTATCAAGGACAAAGGTGAATAACCTATTAGTCTTAAAAATGCCAATCTAATCAGCTGTTTCCTCAACTTTCATTACTGTAACGGACAACAATGGAAAGTGATGAACATCCTGTGTCGGCCTCGATGTGCATATTTGTACAGTCTTCTGCAAGTGTCCTCAGATTTTCTGCATCTATTCACATTCCTCCATAAACAGTTATCAACTGGCAATTGATTTCAATAGGGTTAAATCCTATCTAATATAAATCTAATCACAGATTCATATTTGGCGGGTTCAGCTACTGTGACAAGTGTAATTGTAATACTACAGTCAAAACAAGCTAGAGAAGTAGTAAGTGAAGGAAAGAACACACTGTTTTTCTCAGATTTGAACTAATTTGCTAACTGTTGAAAAAACTCTCGATTTGTATTTTACACGACTAGCAGTAATGTATAAACTAGTTTTATAGTAATTATTTTCAATTAGCTACCTGAAAGTCTGGGTCAGTTTTGACGTGATCCAAGGTAGAAGTTGTATGAGAAAGAGACGTATGGAGGGGGAGAGTAGAGGCATTGTTGAAGTAGTCTTCCTGAGACTGCCACGTGCTGTTGGTGCGAGAGGCAAACGTTGAAGTGTCTCTGAAACCTACAAAAAAAAAACATCAATTGTAACAGTGTAGTTAATACAACTAATAACGATACAAGAGGTTACCTAGCTTGGTCGCAGTCAACAAACTGTCACAGAGAAGATGGTGTCTAGCACCATTCTCTGGAGTCTAGAGCGAATTCTATTCGCCATCCCTTTCCGCTCTCCTTTCCCCCCTCGACAACACGTAGTAGAGCGCTCACACTGTAGGAAGACCCTGTGCGCTACAACTGCTGTACAAAAATGCCTTGTGGCCTTCGCCGTTCAGGCTCTTCCTTGCTCGGTACAAGTACATTTCCGCCCCACCATACCAGAGCTAAAAGCGAACAATTTTCCCATAAACATGTATCCTCTGTATATTACTTCTCTGTGTTACTGTTCACTCTTACAGATGCAGTGTGAAAAATATTGAATCATTACGGGTTTTTTGAGTGATTGTGATTTTCATAAATACCAATTAGTTGCCTTTTGACATTCTGTAGAATGAATGAATGAATGAATGAATTAATTAATTAATTAATTAATTAATTAATTAATTAATTATTAATTAATTAATTAATGAATTAATGAATGAATGAATTATATCTTTATTCTAACAAATTATTTACAGAAATTTGTACACAAATCATATTTAAAGGAGAAAAACATAAGTGAATTTAAAAGAATAACGTAAAATTAACTCTTGCATTACATCTATGTTACAAAGTGTACATTTTTATAAAGAATAAGCCGACATGGGCAGCGAGCCTGTGCGTCGACTGTAGTTGCATCCAAACAGTACATTATTTATCAAAAACAAAATCTAGATAAATAAATAACAGAAGATATGATGAGGTGAAGATATGGTCTAAATGGAGTTACAAGAGCAAACCATGTGAAAAAATACTAGTGGCATAATTAAGTTTAAATAAAAATAATATAACTGTAATAGTGACAGAGGTACTACGGTTTTCAAAGTGTGTCTAGAGGGGGGTGGGGCGGGCGGTGGATAATATTGAAATTATTGAATAAATAAAACACATTTCGACAATCACCTAACATACCTTGGTTGCGGTACGCCAGGTCAAAACTGGGGTTCACAGCCTCGGTAGCCGAAGGGTTGTGAGCCTCGTAGATGTCGTAACTCTGCGTCTCCTCCTCCAGAGAGGAGTTGAGTTGACTCTTGTCCATACTGTCTAGACTACCTGCCATCTTCTTGTAGTCACTGCTCTTGTTCAGAGTAGGAGTGGAACTTTGACTCTGTAAAAACAAAATATATCGTCAAACTCATTCTAATTTATTGGTTTGGAGGTATACAGACAATCAGCGGATTATATTCAGATTAACTCAGATAACCTCTATCAGATTGTTTCTATTATTTTTTTTTCTTAACATTGATTCAAGATTTTTAAGTTTTTCTTGTTTAAAGCTTAATCTCTAAAAATGTTAAATGTGTAATTTTTTCTCAATTCTACTGTTTCTGTTTTTATTTTGTTGTAATTTTATAGTTTTTCTAATTGACTAGCCGACCCGTGCGAAGGATTCACACTGAATACTTCTCAAATCCCACTTATTGAAATACACAATATAGTTGATTTAAGTATGGGTCCTTACTTCAGCAATAGATGTGGGTTTACATTTTAGACAATGACTTATTCGAAACATAAAGTTAAGTTATTTACGTTTTTACATATTTACAGACCTCTTTGAACACTTTAATAGTGTGGCCATATACGATTTTTGTGTTGATGGCATATACTTCAGTGTGTTTATTGTGTTATTAACAGTCAAAGGTTTAAGTCAATGATCTAAACCTTAAACTCTTTTGAAAATTTTCCAACAAATAAAAAAATTAGATTCCTAAAAACCAATGTGTCGAATTGCTTTATGCTGTGTTTTGTGCTAATTGCAATGTTACCCGGGGCAAAGAGAAGTAGAATAATAAATAATGGAGAGAAGTTAAATTTTGTGAGTTCAAGCTCTGGAACCTCAAACTGCACATAGTACCGCAAACCCACATTCACAAACCTGCATGCCATGTTTGTGTTTGTACGCGTTGATGGTAGCAAAGCCTCCGTGACTGGAGCCGATGGAGCGGACGGAATGGAGTGATTGGCGGATGGAGTTGCGCCGCTGGAGCCGCTCCACGTGTCTGTGACGGTTCTTGGAGAGCCACAGGAAGATGAGTACGGCCACCATCAGTATTGCAGCAAACACAGCACCGAGCACAGCAACTGTGACCATGTCATCCTTCCAGGTTAGCAGGGAGATGTGCACCTTGGGGTCTGTAAGGTTCAAGTATGATTAAACATAGTCATATGAACAATTAAACAACATTTTTTTTAGTTTAAGATTGAATTTTTATTGATCAACACCATTTAACCAGCCCAGTATGTCCCACATTAGTGACAGGTACAAGTACAACCAATGTACCAATGTAATATTCATGTATTGAATAAGCGTATTGAATGTAATATTTGTTTTAGTTTGTGTGTGTGAGACTTTAGCACATATTGACCATTTTCAACTATATAAATAAATACTTTATTGTCTTGACAATATACAATGTATAATCTGCTGCTTATGATGAACTGTACAAGTTCAAACTTGTACAGCATGATAAACAGTGAACAGTTTGCCCTATAAGGCCTAAAGTACTAAACATTAAACAAAATTGTTTGTAAAAGATCACTTCAAATCGCTTTAAAAGTATGTCAATCAATCAATCAATCAATCAAGAAATTTATTTACACAATAATTGTCAATACATAGAACACAAAAGTGCAAAAACCACAAATGGTTTGTCTGCACTAAAAATATTGTTTCTTATTTACCATACAGTTTTGTCAGTTTGAATCAGTAGCATGCAGTTTTATGAGTTATTAATTGTCTCTTGAGTAATTAATAACAAAAAAAAAGACAACAAAGACACAAATATCTGTAAAAATTCAACAGTAACAATAACAAATAAACTATTGGAATAAATAACAATAATATATTACTTTGTGTTGTTAAATAAGAGAATAAGTTGAAAATCATACTATTTAGATTGATTTGAAAATTGATTATAATTTGTTACTCATATTCTTCATATTCATTGCTGATGTATAAATTAAGTCTGTGGATGGGTAGTTCGAAGTTATCTTGATACCTAATTAAGTATTTATGACAATGGTTTGAAAAAATCTAAATTTTTCTGTAAAAAGATAAACTATTTTACAAATTTTCTATGGTTTTGGTGGTTTTACACTACACCATTTTACATTATGTGTGATTTTCAACTCTAGACCTTATGTATGATACAAGGGGAGGACACACCACATTAAACAATATTTCCACCTGGCCAAGCAGTGTAGGGGTGAGGAGATGCTCAGGACTGTATATAGACCCTGGAGGCTCTTGAATTATTAAACCTCTTGACAGAATTTCCTCTCCAGTAATTTGATAACATAGTGCCAAGTTATTTTGGAAAGTGAGTTGTTTGGCTAAATGTGTTTTGTGTACTTTGTTGGTGATGTAAAACCTAAACATTACATTAACGGAACGTTACATTAACACGTTCACTGCTAATGACGCACTTGTGCGTCATAAGTATATTAGCAGATATATAATACATGATGTATATAATTACATAATATATTTTAATCCACAATTTATAGTATAAAATTTATTTAATTAAAGATATATTGTCACTCAATTAACATGATCATGTTAATGTTTATGTTTTTTAGCCATTTATAAAAGTATTACATATCATTAGCAGTGAATGTGTTAATTACTTTCTGCAGAATAACTTCCAGAGTCCGCAACATCGAATATGGTTTTACTAATATGAAAATTGTCTGCAGTAATGTCTTCAATAATATAAACTCACCATCAGCAAAAATAAATTTCAAACCAGAAAGAAAAATTATATGTATAAATTTACAACAAAATCTTACCCATCTCGCAGACGAAAGGGTAGAGAGCGTTGCAGTTTCCTACTTCAATAGTTTGGTATACAAACACGGTACATTGGTTGATTCTGTCAATGTGTTGCACCCACACTCGGTCGTAGAAGTTGTACTTCTCCTGCTGACGACGCAGGAAGTTGAAGATCTCTTTAGAGTTGCCCATCACATATGGCATGGAAGCGTTGTCAGACTAGAAATTAACCAATATGTAAATATATAGCACTAGGTTTCATATTGATTGTTAAGTAGAAAGTAAAAGACAGACATAAACAAATGTGGTTGTTAATGGTAAAAATTTTTCCTTCATTATAGATGGTCCTGGATACAGAAAAATATATTATTTAAGTCAGTAACAAAGCTATCTCAGTTTATTGAGTACTAATTATTATGGATTCATATTCATCTTCAAAAACGTACACATAGTGTGTCAAGTCTTAAAACGTCATTGAGTGATTAAATACAATAATCTAGTCATCTTTATTTTACATGCTTAAACAAAAATTTTACCTAGAACCCAGTATGTCCTATACAGGGTGAATTTTAAATGAGTTCCCCCCCTACTTTTTTCTACATTTCTTAAGATATCAACTTTGGACCACGTCAGATCATTGTAGTGTCGTAATTACTTCAATTTGATAGGGTAAACATTTTTGGCCGCCATCTTGGATCCGCCATATTAGATACAAATTTTTTTTTTCAAATGTAAAGGTAATGTTGTGACCTATTGTTTCAAACTAGAATTTTACGCTGATTACAATGCCGCAATTAGTTTTTAAAAATCTTGATCCGTTCTAAAGTTATGAGGACGTTTTATATCTTTATTTTTAGCCCATTTAACATTGTGCATTTACAAACTAAGACCATAATCTCAAAATAGTGCTAGATAAAGATAAGTATACACCACCATTCATTGTCGACCTATTATCACTTGCTTATGACGGATGTATTTTTTCGGCCGCCATCTTGGATCTGCCATTTGAAATGTGATAAATTAATTTAAATATGAAGGTGGTGTTGTGACCCATCATTTTGAACTACTTTTTTATGCTGAACTCAATGCCGCAATCCGTTTTTGTCTCTCAGGCTTTCTTGATGAAATATTAAAATTATCTTACTTAAATTTCCAATATTTCCAAACACAAATATGAAAATGCAAAACAGATTGCGGCATTGAATTCAGTATAAAAAAGTAGTCTAAAATGATGGGTCACAACACCACCTTCATATTTAAATTAATTTGTCACATTTCAAAATGGCAGATCCAAGATGGCGGCCGAAAAAAATACATCCGTCACAATCAAGTGATAATAGGTCGACAATGAATGGTGGTGTATACTCATCTTTATCTAGCACTATTTTGAGATTATGGTCTTAGTTTGTAAATGCACAATGATAAAATGGGCTAAAAATAAAGATATAAAACGTCCTCATAACTTTAGAACGGATCAAGATTTTTAAAAACTAATTGCGGCATTGTAATCAGCGTAAAATTCTAGTTTGAAACAATAGGTCACAACCCTACCTTTACATTCGAAAAAAAAATTTTTTTTCCAATATGGCGGATCCAAGATGGCGGCCAAAAATGTTTACCCTATCAAAATGAAGTAATTACTACACTACAATGATCTGACGTGGTCCGAAGTTGATATCTTAAGAAATGTAGAAAAAAGTAGGGGGGGAACTCATTTAAAATTCACCCTGTATAAGTTAAGCTCAGAGATAACTTACCCGACAGAAGTCCCTGGCCTCCCAGAAGGTCATGGGAGCTCCGATGTAGATGTAGCAGGTGTCTCCCACAACATCCCAGCCTGGAGGACACTTCCCAGACAGGATACTCCGGTTGTTCATCTGGAACGGACGGAAGTCCACCTCCAAAAGGTGGGGTTCATCCGACCGATCACGAATACGTCCAGACACAGCAATTGTCTCGTTGAAGCCCCAATAGTTGTTTTTGGCGTCAATCGGTGTCTTCCATACATCCTCCCTGTAAAGTTAATTTCCTCAATGTTTTCCCAAATTTGTTATAATTATTTTAGACGGAAAGGTTAAGTAGTTTTTCTTTTTTTTACAACCTCTTCAGTAGAAAGTATTTTCTTGTAAAAGGTTTAAGTTATTCCTAAAAATATAGTGAAGAGTACATTATTTCGTTTGCTGGTTTTTGTTATAACGGGATGTTATTAGTTTACATCAATAAATACCAACCAACACCATATTACATTTTCATAGTTATAAATAATCAACCCAATAATTAAACGAGTTAAAAGCCCAAGAATCTTGTTCTGGTTGCTAAATTACTATGTGCAGTGTCCCTACAAAAGAAGCTAGCACTCTGACTCCAGTAAACTTGTGGAGTATGTTTTCGTTTTGTCTATGGTGTATCTCCAATAAAAATTACTAAATGAGGAAATAATTATTTAATATTTTCTTTACAATACCACTGCAAACACTAATGCAAATTGTTTAGATGTTTGTTCTTTCAATGGAGATTGTTTTGAACAGGTTAATGAGTTCAAACTCCACTAGACCGAAAAATAGTTTAAAGAACTACAAATTGAAACAACAAAAATCAAACCTCATTTGTAAGGAAAAACTATTTACATACAAATAAAACAGATAGCTATTCAACTGATTTTGAACATTTATTAAAAAACAACAAAGATGTATACCATAAGCACAACATAGTCAAAACAAAAAGAAAATACAGCCACAATGCTTTGTTTATTTTACCCTGAAACAAATGTTGTTCTTAAAGAATAACAGCATAATCATTGTTAATGTTGTTTGTCCAAAGTTAGTACTTAGTAAACAATGTGCTACACTAAGCTAAAATGAGTTACAGTGAACTTAATCTGTAGATAGCTTAAAGCTTGTGTTCATTATTGATGCTTTGAATGGATGAATTATGCTTGTGGTTTCAAGGGATTAACCATTCAAACAGTGACAAACACTTTTTTTTACTGTGCACCACTTGAACATGTATCTTATATGAACATATTTTCTAATAAAGCGTTTCAAAATGTGACACTAATAAATATATATATTTCTTAAAAAGCTTTAAATCTTGCTATAGCTAAAAGTGAATATCAAAAAAAGTTTATTTTTATTTTTGTCCACTACAATTTCAACAAACAGTGTAAACAAATTTATAATAATTATGTTATTTTGACAAGTGTAGCAAACACACAAAAGCACAAAGGAAAATGGACATGACAAACAAGGCAAATAAACAATAGAAAGCGAGACAATCAAACATTTATCTCGCTTACCTTCTGATGCCTGCCCTGCACCGGCAAACAAAACAAAATAAATCATTATTCATAATAGTTTTCTGAGGAAATAATAAAAGCAAAACTTAAAACAGAAACTAATAATTTATGATAGTAGCTATACTGAGAACAAACATAATTATAATGCTATAATAAAGGGCCATTAATTCCACTATTCGCTCTAAGTTTAATTGAATTTTAATATTTAACATGTTCGCTGCGGGCCACTCACTGGTGAGTGCTCTAGCTCTTTTCTGCCACGCTGAACGCTCACCGGTGAGTGCTGGCATCGCCTACATTTAATTCAATTTCTGCGCAGCAGCACACCGGGAAGAACGGGTATTTTTATGTCTGCGTTTAGCTAGGAATGATTGCTTTATTGTGGTGGTGCTTTTTTGTGGTGTGTTTATTGTGGCTATTATTATACTTGTTTTTAGGCTTGTTTTTTTTTTTGCCTAAAAAATATGCTGTTTATGTATAGCTAAATTTTCTTGACTTTTGTCTATTGCATTTGTTGTCAATGTTGAAGGACAATAAAACGTTTCTGATTTCTGATTTCTGTAGGTTGTTAGTAAATTTCCCTGTGAAATCCCCCTCTGGCAAGCAGGGTAAATCAACATGTTGTCCCGTCTTTCTCCCTCCAATTGACAATACAATGGAACCGGCTAGTTGCAGGCAGTGCTGCTATCTGTGAGTGTTTTAGCAAACTACGTCGACTCTCGTCGTAACACAGAACATCACCACACGTAATTTACTGTTCTTCAGACCGAAATATTTTAAAGCCAAACGGGTTCGCTCGACGCTGCGCCTCACTGGCGCTACGCCTGCCATTTGGCGGGGCGTAGCGAACGTATTAAGTCTTAAGTTAAGAGTATTAATGCAGAAAATTTCAAAAACAAAACTAAAGTTTTCTATTTTGACATCATAAAATAGCAAATGAAAGATTGAACACTGCTTCGGATACAAAAAAATAATTTATTTGGGTAAGTATAATTGTTTCCACACTATTGTTTATTATTTGCAAAATCTTTTAAGAGTAAAAGGTTTTTTTATCATAATATGACAGGAATCTTTTTTTCTTTCACCATTTCCTACACTAGGTGGGCAATTTATATTTGAATAATGGCCTCCCTCAGGACAAAAATAGCTCCAAATCATATGGCTCATTCAGGGCGCAATGAAAAAACAATTTAGTTTTTGAATTTAGTTTAATCATATAGTTGTCTGGGTTGAACAACTGTAAAATGTAAATTTAAATTGTATTTCTTTTTCTTTGTAATTATTTGTATATTATATTTGTGTATATATTAGGCTAGTTTAGTTTTAGTTTGACTTGAGTTTGAAAAACATATACATGAAACTCGCTTGCAAATAAAGACCTTTTTATTTATTTATTTACTGTGGATGCCAAGACAATCTCAACTCTAAAAATCATAAATTTTTAGCAAAAATAGCAACATCTGATATCCCAATCTCAAAACATTAAACCAATGCTAAATATTGCTTGACAAGTTCAAAAATTTATATTTCTGTGAAGGTACAGTGGACCTAAAGCATTAAACACCAATTTAAGGAATTATTGAGTATTCAAATTATTTCTAATTCAACATATCAAATCTCAATAGTATGGATTAAAACTGATGGAGAAATAATTGACAAACAGCTAAATTAAAAGTTGGTCTTGTATGCTTACCGAGATCTGTTGACGGTGACTATTTCATAGTCATTATCAGGGTTGAAGAATATATTGTCGACATACTGCTGACCTGCTGTGCCCGCAATCACGGTTCCTTTGGAGTCAGGGGCGATTGCGTAGTTCCTGGACACGCAATTAATAGCAATTAGCAATAGTAGGGTGTAGCTGGTAACTAGTGGTAGTATCCATATCTACTGTAGCAAGTTTTAAATCAGATAGAACATATTTGTATAAGCTCTATATTATTGAAATAAAGACACTATATTTTCTAAAAAGATCCAATAGTGTTAAAATGAGTATACTATTGGTGAGTTAAGTGGAACACTTCTAGGTGATTTTTTACAAAATTCTAATTGATTTAACATTTTGAATTATGACATAACTGTAGTCGTGTAACACTACATTTAAAATATGTACGTTTTACAGTTACCAGAGTTTGAGATTTACAACTTGCAGGAAAGCTTACCAGTAAAACCCATTGTGTGATGTTGTTTGATAGAACGGCAGCCGAACTCTTTCGAATCCCGAAACTTCCAATACATGACTGCCAAGATTGTTGTGAAGATAGTTGTATGTGAAGTTGGACACAACCTGAAAAAAATTAATAATAAACATAACTTTCAATTTGTTTCTCCTCATTCTTTGTCCACTTTGCAAGAGGTGAAGTCTTGTGATTATTACATTTGAACAGTGAGAAATTGCCAATATAAAGAGTTATCTGAAATTTGAGGTCTCCAATGAGCTCTCATATTGTTGAAACGACCTATTTTAAGCCTGACAACGATTTTGTGTTCACAAATTCTCCGACTATTTTAAGGATAAGAAATAGGTGATTTTTCATAATCCATTATTAATTCCATGGCTACATTGGACTTCAAGACATCTTTCTTTGAAAGTCAATCCTTACTTGGTTTGAACATGATTTTATGAGCATAAAATATTTTAAATACCGTATTGTATAGTTGTGTGTTTATTGAGAAATAAATGGACTCTTTCCTATGCAGGTAAGCCTTTACAACCATTCTTTAACTTATTTCCTTGTGCCTGTTAAATCATGAACCTCCAACTATCTGGTAAGTTACCTGATCCAAGGTGATGACGTTGTGTATGTAGCCTCTGTTGCGGGCCCAGTAGTTGCGGTAGATAGTCACTTCCTGATACGGACTGCTCTGTCTCCCCTCCACACTCAGGGCCGGGTTGTTGTCGTTCTCCGTAAACAAGTTGTTGTGGATCCATCCCTTCAGGGAGGTGGCAGATCCACGAGAATCCGCTCGGATCCACAACCCACCTTGGTTGCCTCTCATCAGATTGTTCTAGAAAAGATCAGATTGATCAGAAAAGTTAAGAAGTGAATTAGAAACACACTGATCCATTCATATAATATCTTAAACCTTTATTATTGTTGTGTGAGTTGGTAACTCAGTAGGTAGTAAAATGGACTGATAAACCACGTTAACCCTGAAGAAAACTCTCTTTTCTTTAGTTGAAAGAAAATGCTGTGTGAACTGTGAAATATTCCAATGTTTTGAGTATACAATGAAAAGTTTTGTGTTTCATGTGCCAGTTTGGACTTTTTCCCATTCAAGTAAGCTTGCTTTATTCACACAAAAATCCTAAAAATCTATGCCTTTGTACTAGAGATGAAATAGTATTCTGGTGCAGCACTTAAAATTTATCAATACAGTTAATTGTTTTATTTTATCCGCTCACTACTTAATTTGCTAAATATGTGCCGAGGTGCTTGAGGTCCATAGGCCAGACATTTTAAATCTAAACAACAACCGAGCCTGACAAAAAACACTACATAGAAATATCTCCTTAAATTGGAAACACAGGACTCCTCTTGTTCTAATCTTTGTCGTCATGTATTAAAATAATGCTCCCTGGTGTATACATCATATAAACAGTTGCTTACCCTGAAATGCAGGTATTGTGTGTTCTGCAGATCCATGGTCACGGCTCCGAGGCAGGTGGTAAAGTTGCCGTAGAGTTTTGCGCAGTTGTTGGTGATCTGGTTCCACTCCATGGTCACTCTAGGGTTCACTTCCCCAGCACTAACGTAGTGGAGAGCTCCCTCCCAGTTGTGTGACAGTGCTGAGTACGAGATGTTGTGTTCTACATCACGGTCTGCAATTTAACATGGTATTTACTTACATGAGTTACATGTTAAGGATGTTAAGGACCGTGGTTGTGATGAGAGGCTAGAAAATCTACCCTGGGATAAAAAAATACACAAATTTTAGATAATAATAAGTGGATTTAATATTTCCCTGACAACATTTCCAACCAAGGGATTTATGATTTGGAAAACAAATTAACTTACATAGGAATTTTCCTGAATAATTTGAATATTTAGTTTCTGTATCTTATTATTTTCTCGATATAAGAACGATATAAGAAAGAACCCTAGCTTAGACTGCAGAGTGAAATATTAACCAAATAACAATAGTATGGACATTGGACGGGACCAATAGAACAACCAATAGGAACAATAGGTTTCAAGGCACATGGCTACCTAGAGAGGTAACCAAAAGAAGCAAGGTAAAAGGCAAGTTGGAGAAAACCTGAAGCTGACACAAGACAGCCCAGACAATTTTTTAAAACATTGGACACAGGAGTAAGTAAATGAGAACCTTAACTAAACAGGGCTTTGTATATTGTAAACACACAAGATTTTCATGCAATCCTCCTAAATATTGTGTAATTATACCTTGCAATCCAATCACATCAAACACTTACTGAAACCAATGGCAGAGATGGGTGTGGTGACGATTTCCGCCATGAAGCCATAAGTCTCAGAGGCTCCGCTGGCCACCACTCGTACACTCAAGCTTGGGCCTTTGGTTGTGAGAAATCTCTTTTCCAAGGGAGAGTCAGAAGTTATCTCGGCTACCAGCTCTAAGGTCGGCTTGTTGTAAATGTCGCCGTCATAGATAGAAATACTGTCGGTAGAGTTGAGCATGTTCAGCTGTAAAAGCCTGTGAAACATAATTATACTGAGTTAGTGTAGTGTTCCATTTAATTTGTCTAAAAAATAAAAGTAAGTGAACTGTGCAGAAATAAAGCTGAAGAAATGAGAGTTTACAGACTATTTTAGGTGGGATAGGGTTAGGAATGAAAAGAACAGCAAAGGGGTGGATGAAGGCAGCTGTTAAGGAAGAGTGGGAAAAGCAAGGTTTGTCCCTGTAGGCACAACAAAAGATGAGAGTACTCCTAGGAAATAGACTTGATAACAGACTGGATAGATGGTAGAAGACCAGAGGAAGACTTGTGAGGATGGGAAAGATAAAGGTAGACAAGTGCGAAGGCAGATGGTGAAAGAAGAGAGATGGAAAAAGAAGAGAGGTCTAATTAACGCCCAGACCTAAGAGCAAAGAAGATATGTAAGTAAGAAAAACCTACCTGAATCCGAACGGCTTGACTCTGTAAGCGCTGTAGAATATCTTGACACAGCTGACCGGTTTGTTGTCGTACTTGTAGTACAACACGACACGCTCCTGCACTATGATCTCCTTGGCAGGATCACACACGTCCACCAGCCCGAAGATGTGGGAAGGGAGGTAAAGGTGGCGAGCAGGGGTGAACGAACTCTCCCCACTCTCCCTCCCCTCTCCTGTCAATGAGGCGATCGTCACTCCTACACCCAGTGTGTGCTGCACCCTGCATAACATGGAGTGATCAGTCATGGAGCTAGGTAGTTTAATTATTGTTACTAAGACAATTGATATCGGTTATCAACTATTCAAAATAAAAATACCAATGGAAAATAAACCCACTTGAGTTCATAATTATCTAAAACATAAAATAGGTCCATCAAGTTATATGTAGTGTTCATACCCATAGTTTGAGTTTTGGAGGTAATTCTTTGATCAAACTCCACATTCAAAGGTCAACTCAACTTCAGATTTGCAAACAAATCAAATGAAAAATTCAATCACAAGGTCAAAAAAGCATTACTTTTCTCCTTACAGCCAAAGAAAGTACTGAAATTCAAATTTTTTTATTAATGATTTTTGTTTTTTCATTTAAAAAAGTTGATTACTGGTACAAATGTACGTTTATTTTAAGTTATGCATGGTTATTTTATAAGCTGTAGACAGTTTTTTGCCAAGGAAGGTAATCAAAAAAGACTTTCAAGTTTTCAAAATTCAATTTAGCATGGGTATATGCAGTCTATATGCCTTTAATGCTTTGCACTATCAAAAGTAGATTTTTTTTTAGGGTGAGGAGGGAAAATGCTTTTACGCACACAGGTAGCCAGCCTGTAGTGTGAGACTCCTGAGTTTATCACAGACTACTCACTAAAAAACCCCCTCTACTCTGTTGGACACAGACCTGGGATTGTTTGTCACATTACTTCAAGTCAGGCCAACATGTGACCTAAGCCCACAGGGCTCGCACCGTTTCTGGCATTATTTATTTTTTTGACCTACACCGCATCCCGGTCGAGGTCAAGCTTCTTGGCGCGGAGAACACCCTGGATGTAAAGTGACACACAGGTCCAATTGTCCTCACCCTCCATCATCATCGGTATGACCGTGTCCACCGACAGCAGTCCTACGAACTGTTGAGCCTCTAGGCGGGGCCTTTCCCAATGCTGGCAGTGGAAAAAAGTGTGATCCACGTCATCGGGAATGCCTGGGCAGTATGCAATCGGGTGACACGGCTTTGCCCATCCTGAACAAGTACGACCAGAAAAAGCCGTGACCCGTCAGAAATTGGGTGAGGTAGAAGTTCACCTCTCCGCACCGCCGATTAACCCGTCAAAAGTAGAATAGATGAACTAAAAATATTAGTGCCATGAAAGTTATGAGAAAAAACAACCAAACTCACCAGTTGTATCTTAACCGCACATGTTCCTGAGGTGATATCAGTGAGATACCATGAGAGGCAGAGTACGAGATGTTGACGTTCTCTATGGTGGGACACTTGTACACCCCCAGTACTGCCGGACTGCGCCGGGTGTGCAGCAGACCTGCGCCGGTGATGTTGGTGTACTCTATCACAGATTCACTGCGCCGAACTGTCTCATGAGTGACCACATCGTGAACTCGACCCTCGAACACACTCTGTTCAAACTCCTCGTTGGCGAAACTGTAAATCAGAGAGTGTCGGTTTTGTCACTTAAGTAATCATGGTTTCTATAAGAATATGTAATATGTAAATATTACAATATGTAAATAGGATGTAATACTGTTAAGATAACATTTGTGTAACAGGATTAGCATATTTTTGCCTATGAAGGTAGTAAATTATGAGCATACAGTATAAAAACCTTGCAAGATAAAATAAAGTTTGAAAAATAGAATTTGTTTGCAAAAATGTTTAACTGAGTTATACTACTGACTCACCGTATGCCACCCCAATACTCCTGGTCAGGAGGAAGATTGCGTTGACCACAACGCACAAACACAAAGTTACTGTTCCAAGCACATGTGTGACGTTTGCCATGCAGCTGTCCATTGAGCCTGATCTCACAGTCTTCCAGTCTCTTTTCATCGCCTAATCAAAATAAATATACAAATACTTTACAAAAATAATAAAACTTGAATTTTGAATTTAACTACTATGTAAGTCTCTTGGGAAAAGAACTCTTGTTGGGAGAAACATCTGGGTTTGTAATACATTTCTAAGACATCACTGTGTGAGATTACAAGAGAATAAACACAAGAAAACCTTGAAATAATCCTGTAAAAATAATTAAAAAGTTAAGATCTGTCACATGTTTTTTGTGGCACGTGAAAAATTTGAATAATTAGATAAAAGTTTGACTTAAGTGCAAACTGCTTACAACATTGCACTGTGGGTGTTTGTAAGTGTGTATATTTACCATAAAAAAGTTTATAGCTCTTTAATATAGATGAATAAAATATAGCAAAATATTACTACAAAATTTACTTTTCTTAGTAAACAAATTTAAACTTTTGCTTCAAGAACATATATGTTTTAACTTTTTTTAACAAAACTAATCTGTAAAAAAAACTTAATACAAGCAGTAATATAATTTTACAGAAAACTATAGAACTTGAAAAACAAATAACACTAAGAAAACCATACTAACCACTACACTGCACTGGCTCGGGCCACGACCATATTCGGGTGAGAGAGTTCGGGTGGAACTCCACCCGGGGGCCGCGGGACACCCAAGCATTGAGAGATTCCAGTCCCATCTGACGACAGACCACCCGAGCATTGTGCTCCGAGAACCTTGAGTCACAGAGAGGCACCCACTGGAGTGTAGTGGAGTTGAGGTACTCCAGGAACCCTTCCTGCATGTGACGAAACTGAGAGTCGTCGGAGCAGTTGCGCATCGTGCACAAACGGAGCGACCTAAGGTGTGAGAAAATAAATTAATATATGATAATGCAATAGTGAAGTGATCATATGAGAAGCAGTTAAAGAGCTGAAGAGGAAGAGTAAAAAGGCAAGACTGGTTTGGACAAGTGGGAAGGATGCAAGAGAACTCCTAAGACAGTGGAATTGCTGATAGAGGGGATAGATGAGAGGGAGAGGAAACCATAAGGAGAATTTAGGTGATGGGGAAACCTAAAAAGTTGCATTCCAGTTATTGAGATTGTTGTGTATTGTAAGTTTATATTTGAAATAAATAGTTAAATTAATATATAGATGAAAAATGAGCCTTTTTGTGTTACTAGTTTATTTACATCAATTGAATCACATTTTTGAAAATAACATATGATTAAATAATTAAATGCATAGCATTTGAAGCATAGAGATACAACAGTTTCTTCCCCACTAAATTTGATTCATAAGTCCAGTCTTTTCCGTTGCTTTCTCGTTCTGGCTGATTTGCGAGGAACATCTGTTGAAGCATTGTCATCTGTTTGAGGATTATTATGTTCACTGGGTTGAAGCCTGATTTCTGCATTTTCAAGTTGATCATTGTTATCTTCTCTGCGTTGAAGCCTGATTTCTATATTTTCCAGATCATTGTCCTTGAATGTCACGTTCTGTTGTTGCGAACTGGTATTTTCTTTAGGAGATGAGCTGGAGTGTGTTTTGTCTTTTGTTTCTGGCACTGATGTTCTCTTCAACTGATCGATGTGTCTCTTGCCAATGTAACCGTTGTCCAGTTTGACTTTGTAGTGCAGAGCTCCAAGTTGAAAAATAACTTTTCCGAACTTCCAGCCGTCTAAGGAACGTACTAATATTCTCTCCCCCACTTTAAATGAGCGGCTTACTTGTTGAAAACCTGGATGTAATGATGTGTTTTTCTTAGGGGGTTTGAGAGCATCTAGTTTTGTTCTGATCTTTCGATTTAAATACAGTTCAGCCGGTGATTGTCCGCATTGTAGAGGTACAGCTCGGTAGCGAAACAGTATGTCTTGAATTTGTGATTTAATATTCTTTCGAGGATCTTCAGCACAATTTTTCAAAGATGTCTTTAACGTTTGCACATAGCGTTCCGCTAACCCATTGGTTGCTGGGTGTCCTGGGGCGATAAATTTTTGAAATATGCCTCTTTGTCGGCAAAAGTCTGTAAATTCTTGGCTAGTAAAAATAGTGGCATTATCAGAAACTAGTACAGCAGGATATACATGTGTAGAGAAGATATCATTTAGAAATTCTATTGTCGTAGCTGTGGATGGTGCGTTTTTGGTTATTCGAACCTCAGGCCATTTAGATTTTGCATCAATCACTACTAGGAAATGGTGTCCATTAAATGGTCCTGCGTAGTCCATGTGAACTCTTTCAAAGTTTTCCTTAGGGATTTCCCAAGGGTGAAAAACTTTTGTTGGCTGTTTTGACTGTAAAGCGCAAGCTGCACATAATCGAACTTTATTTTCAATGTCTTTGTCAATTCCGGGCCAATAACAGTGGAGTCTTGCGAGTCGTTTCATTCTTACCATTCCTATGTGTGTTGCATGAAGCTCTTCTAAAACATGAGAGCGTAGTGATCTTGGAATGTATACACGTTCTCCTCTGAATACAATTCCTTGATTGGTTGAGTAGATTGGATCATTTGTACCTTCTTTTATTTGTTTCATAAGATCTTTCATTCCTGGATCGTACGCAGTTTCTTTTGAAATTGAATCACTCGTGATGTTGATTGATGAGATTTGAAGGATTGAATTCTGTTCTATTTCATCTTCTTCTTTATTCAGTGCTGTGTCGATACCACGATGTTCCGTTGTTTGAAAAGTCCTGGATAGAAAGTCTACATTTTGGTGTTGTTCTGCTTTCCGATGTTTGATGTTGTATTCAAATCCTCTGAGGAAAACTGCATAGCGTAAAAGTCGACCAGCTGTCATTGGAGGAACATTCTTTGGGTGAAATATTCGTGTGAGTGGTTGGTTATCTGTGATCAATTCAAACTTTCTTCCATAGAGGTAGTTGAAAAATTTTCCAATAGAAAATACAATAGCGAGTGCTTCGCGATCAAGTTGGCTGTATTGGGACTCTGATTTTGAAAGTGAGCGGGAGACAAATGCAATGGGCCTTTCTTCTCCATTGATAATGTGTGATAGTACTCCTGAGATCCCATGTGGGCTTGCATCGCAGGCTACGGATACTGGAAGGTCCGGGTCAAAAGGAACTACCACTCTATCTGAGGCTATTTCCTTCTTGATGTTGATGAACGCTTTCTCACAATCTTTTGTCCAGTTGAATGGTTTATTCTTGATGAGTAACTGGCGTAGAGGGTAAGTTATGGTAGAAGCTGCTGGAATGAATTTTGAATAATAAGTTACAAGTCCTAGAAACTTTCTCACTTCCTCTACTGAATTTGGTCTTTGAATATTGAGGATATTTGACACTTTTGCTGGAGACTTGGATATCTTGTTGTTTTCAATAACATATCCTAAGTATGAGATGCTTTCTTGGAAGAATGTGCATTTATTTCTGTTGAGGTGAAGATTGTTGGTTTGAAGTCGCTCCAGACAAGCTACAAGGTTGTTGAAACATTCATCCAAAGTTGAACCGTAGACAATTATGTCGTCAAAGTAAGAGCTGACACCTGGAAGGTCTTGTAGAACTTGTTCCATTACTTTTTGAAATATGCTGGGTGCAGTCTTGATTCCAACAGACAATCTGTTGACTTTGTAAGTACCTTTATGGGTTGATATTGTTTGAACACAAGCACTTTCTTCATCGACACCTATGTGTAGGTAAGCTTTAAAGAGGTCGAGAGTACAGAAAAACTTGGCGTTTCTCAGTTTGTGGAGTGTTTCGTCGATCCTAGGAATCGGATAGTGTGAATCGTAGAGTTGAGGGTTGACTGTGACTTTATAGTCTGCGCATAGCCTAAGTGTACCATCAGGCTTAGGCACTACAACTAAGGGTGAACCCCAGTCGCATGATTCGATTTTAGTGATGATTTTGTCTTGTTCGAGTTTGTCAAGATCATGTCCCACTCTATCCCGGAGTGCATACGGTAAAGGTCTAGGTTTGAAAAATACTGGTTTGGATTGAGGTCTTAACTTTAGAGAGCAGGTGACATTAGGAATATGTCCTATTTCTGGTGAAAATATTTCTGGAAATTTTGATTCTACTGCAGTAACTAGTTTTTCTGTGTCACTGGAAACTAAGTTTACATAAGTACCGGTACCTTTTGGTCTCTGGGTGTCAAGATCGTTCAAGTGGACTCCAAGTTGTCTTATCCAAGTCCTACCTAGTAGAGGGCTGTACATGTCAGGAACTACAAACAACTGCTGTGTAGATGAGCGTCCATTGTATTCAACCTGAACATTAACTAAGCCTAAGGGTTGGAAAACCTCATTTGTGTAAGAACGAAACCTTATATTTGTATTCTGGATTGTGTTTTGAGGAAGATTAAGTCTATCAAATTGCGCTTTTGGTAGAAGGGTATGAGCTGCGCCTGAATCCACCTCAAACTTTTGTGGTTTCCCATTGATTAGAATAGTTGTGAAAAATTTTTCTGTGTCTGATGAATTGTAGTCAGATACATTGAGAATTTGAAGTTGCCCTATTCCATAAAGTGAGTTTAAGTCCTGTGAATCATTTGGAGTAGTACTTATTGTATTAACTGTAGGCCTGGATTTCTTAGAGAGTAGAGTTGATATACAGACCTTGGCTATGTGTCCATCCTTGTCACAGCTTTGGCAGTGAAGGCGTGATTTGTTGGTTTTACATTCCCTGGACATGTGATTTGCTTTACCACATCTTAAACACAGGTTTCCAATTCCAAGTGTTGCCAAATCAACCTTATTTCGTCTTGTGGAAGGGTGATTTAGTCTGTTGTTAGATCGGTTGTTGAGGTAGGCTGTCCTTCTTGGTGTATAATTCTGGTGTGTTGGTCTTGTCAATAATTTGTTGACTTCTGCCTGTGACGATGTTTGAGGACTAGAAAAGTTGTTCAGAGTTGCACTGTCTATTTTTGAAGCTTCAATTGCTATTGCCTTTTCTACGGCAATGTCAAATGTTAAGTCCTTGGTCTGGATTAATTGTTCTCTAATTGAAGAGTCATGAATTCCCCTGATAAACTGCGATCTTAAGAATAAGTCAGATACAGATGCTTCACATGATGTACAGGTAAGTTTGCAAGTTGCAATTTGTTTCCTAAGAGCTGTTACATAGTCTGTTATTGATTCATTTTGTGCCTGGATTCTGGATAAAAACTTATGCTGTTCTACAATTTCATTGGTTTTTGGAAAGTAATTGTCTAATAATTTTGTAATTTCATCATAGGTTTGCTCATTAATACTTTTTGGAGCTGAGAGTGAAGACAAAAGGTCATATGTTTTAGAACCTACACTATTGAGAAAAAGCTGGGCACAAATAGTTTTATCATCAAAAGCATTCTTTATCTTTAGGTAATTTTCAAATCTTTCTTTGTATAGTTGAAAAGTTTCTTTGTTTGAGTCAAATTGTTCGAAATTGGAAATTAATGTGATGTTGGATTGTTGAGTCTTTGACATACCTTGAATAGCTGAAGACAAGGTCTTGATTAATATTTCAAACTGTTCTTGGTTCATTTTGAAAAAGTATATAAAATAAACTTTAAAACAAAATAGAAAACACGTTAGGCTCTCCTCGTCGCCATTTCTGTTGTGTATTGTAAGTTTATATTTGAAATAAATAGTTAAATTAATATATATAGATGAAAAATGAGCCTTTTTATGTTACTAGTTTATTTACATCAATTGAATCACATTTTTGAAAATAACATATGATTAAATAATTAAATGCATAGCATTTGAAGCATAGAGATACAACAGAGATCAAGTAAACTACTCCATCAATGGACTGACCAAGATCATGAATAAAATCCTCAATCATAAACAAAATCATCCAAAGACCAAATAACGCATCTTACCTCCTAGTGACAGCCATGTTGGTTGGAGGTTTGACAGTCTGTGAGAGAGGTCTCATGACAATCTCCTGTCCTCGTCGCCCCCTGGCCACCAGTCGGCCCAGCACCAGCAGACCTACCCTGGGGGCGAACTCTATCACCACCCCGGGGGCGATGTTGAGAGTCACTCCTGGCATGACTGTGACATCTGACATCACCTGGTACGGCATGTCACGGGGCTGTAGTGTCAAAGAGGTCTTGAGTCGTCCGGACAAGCGGTTCAAGTCTACGAGCGAAGGCTGCTCCCAAGCGATCTGATGACAGGCATATAAATCACTTATATGATATTACTTACTTATTCCTGGGACAGTTTACAACAAGAAGGTATGTAGTATAAGATTACTCTGCCTAAATGAAACTCACCGAGAGTGATCCCTCAAAAGAATCTTCTATGAGGAAAGGCTTGAAGTTGGCAATCGCATGATCGTTCCAATCGTCGAAATCGAATATCTTACTGATAATCTCGTGTTCGCTCGTTGTTCCCCACCAATTCTCAGTGACGTCGATGGTTGAATCGATTCGGGCAGTTCGTACTCCAGCCACTAGTGAGTAGGCCTGTGTGTTTTCAGCGATCAAGTTGCGCTTCACTCTCACCTTTTGTAGTCCGTCAAATACAATTACACTGGATGGGGTCTGGAAAAATATATAAAAAGTTTATATCATAGTGTTTGCTCTTCGAACATAAACTTACATGACTTTTCAAATTTAATTTGTATTTCTACAGTAGGCTACTTATTTTAGAATAATGAAAAATTTAATTTTGATTTTTTTCTCCTCAATCAAGTGTATTGTATTTTTCTAGGTTTGGCATCTTATTTTTTTATGATTTTTGTAAAGGAACCATCTAAAATATTGTATTTATCTGCCTTAGATCAACCTTTAATGTAGCTGTATTTATAGAAGAAAATTTCAGAACCACACCTATCAGAGAAAAACATTGCATATAAGTTAGTTAGCACCATTAATTGATTAATGACATTTTTCATATGGGTCTAGAATGTATCTCACCTTGGGATCAGATCAGAGTTGAAGGCAAGCACTATACAGTCTTACAACCACTTGGATACCGAGACTTTCCAGTGTTCTTGAGATCTTTGGAGAAATTACCATTTTCCCATTGTGAAATTCATTTCTCTTTTACTGATTTTGGGACAACATAGAACTTTGACTCTTTCTTCAAAACAAGAAATTTTGTCTGAGTTGAGATAGTAAGAAGAAAGATTAACAGCCTAGATTATCAGCACAATGGAATATGGTTGTAATAAATTTTGATAATTATAAGATTGCCATCACCAAAAATTATCATAAGTATTTTTTAAAGTTCATTTACCTCGGGGGAAGGTGACCTATTCCTCTTGATGATATTGTTGCTAAACTCCGCCCTCAACTCTCCCAAAATCTCTGACTGACTGTCTGCCTTGAACTCGACCATGAATGTTCCAGTGTTGCGTTCGATTGTGTTTCCATGAAGCCACATCTGTTTTTCCATTCCTTGCACGGAGACTAGGCCCGACCGACACACGTTGTCCTCAAACACGTTACGAGTCATGTTGAACCTGCAAAATGAGGTTAGTATTTTGGAGTGAAAATTTATTTTGATGATTATTTTGGGTTTGGGAAAGCTAATGTTGATATTTGAAACTGTGAGCTCAACTAGCTTCTAAGTAAAGTGTTCAGAAAAAAAACTGATACTTAAAAAAATTCTAATCAGGAATTGGGCTATACTTTAAAATATATTAATCATGGTGACTACCACTTTCCTTGAGTACAAATTTAGATTTTTCAGATACCTTTTATCATAAAAAGTCATCTTTAATTTGCATGAAGTAACTTATATTGTAGCAAAAAAGTTATTGGATTTTAGAAACCATGAGTAAATATATCATTGAGATCATAAGCATTGATAAGACTTATCATCATGAGAGTGTACATTTATTTGCACTATTTTATTTTCATAAATACATTGCTAAAAACACAATATAACTTCCCCACTGCAACGTTTAATTTTGGTGGGTTTAAAAATCAGTTTTACATGTTTGTAACCCCAGTAGGAACCCATGACTTAGAATGTGGTTGTATTAAAATCAGTTACTTTGGTCCACCTCATCACTAACATTGTTTCAGTAACACCTATTACGATCGATCATTATAATCAAGGCTTGCCATCTCAGATTTAAAGATTTTTGTGTCATTGAAATTATAAAATATCAGATCTAGTGTATCAAAATCCTAAAGAAATACAAAACACATGAAGTATTTTTATTTTTTACACCAGCCTTACCTAGTGAAGTGGCCGCCAATCACTGCAGCGTATTGCTGGTTGTTGCGCCAAGTGTTGTTGTGCAGTATCACAGAGTGAGTGAAGTTCTCGTTGTATTGCCACACGTAAGGCAGACTCAGCTCCAGGCCACCTGCGTGGTTGCGCTCGATAGAGTCGTCACTCAGCAGCCAATGGAACAGGTTGTTGGAGCTCCGTAAGTCTCTGCGTGGAAGAAAAAGAGGGATGTTAAAAAGATTAAATTTTTTAAATACAATATTTTTAAATATAAGTGCCTGTGAGTATATATTCTGATAATTTAAATTAAAATAAAGAATTCAGTAATATTTATACCTCCCGTAAGTATTATCCAAGTAGATATAATTTTCATAATTCACAACATATTTCTATTACCGCTACTAAATTAACACATACTTCATCATGCAAGTGCTTCACTAGAAAAAATTGTTTAAATCTCAAGACAAAACAGTATATTTGTAACACTTTGATTTAACCTAGATTACTTTATTAATATCAAACTTCCTCTAGGGCCTAAAGTTAAAGATCAAGAACTTGGGAGCAAATGATCATGTGATCAACAATCATACTGAAGATGAAGGTCACTTTTACCAACCTCTTAGCTGCTCTACCAAACGGTCAAGCATCAAAAAAACAACCGATTACAAGAATGAACATGTGATTCCAAAAATTTGGGGAGAGGTAAAGTGAACTACTAGGCCTACTAAATCTTGTCTAAATTCCTACTGAAGATGATTAAAGTTCCAAAATTTAAATACCTGCTTCCAATCTCTTGGAGAAGGAAAGCTTGAAAACTGAATAAAAAACAACATGTTAAGAGAGTGTTTATTTTAATGTGTGTACCACTACTACCACACATTTCTAAAAAGATATGTTGGGCCGTAGAATTTAATAAGACATAGTTTTTTCAAATGTACTAAAGATTAATACTATAGATTTTTGGAATATATTAATTTCTCCAGAGGAACATTTCTGTTAGTGTTGTTTAAAAGTTCTAAAAAGATTTAAATATTTGATGATTTTCAATCTATCACTGGATGTGATGCGTATAGACCAAGCTTGTGACTGACAAAAACCAATGAAATATCTGTAAAAATTGTCGTTTAACAACTTAAGAACTCTTAGAATAGAACACTTTCCCAAAATTAAAGAAAAATTTCATGAACTTATCTGTATAATGGCTGTTGTTCATGAGTATTTATGCACTAGGCTGCAAGATTGAAGGTAACAGCCCCGCCATTGACACGCTAGGCAAATTCGTCAGTTTCTTTTTAAATCTCTCAAATATAAATACAAATTTATATTATTTACTTTAAAGTATAAGTAATATATACAGACCTGCTAAACTGCAGTATCCCACGGCCGTTGTCTGTGATGAGTGTGTTGTTGAACACTAGAGATATCTCGGAGATGTTGGTCTGCGCGAGGCTCCAATGTGGAGAGTCTATGAGCACTGCCTCGGCTCCGTTGTGGCTCAGGTCGCACCCAATCACGTGCAATGACTCGTTACTGTGACGCAAGTAGTGTTCCCCACTCTCTGTCAGGTATCTGCAGAAAATAAGATATTATAGATCTTCCTTGAACATATATTTATTCTTTAGATTTCCTTTGTATATTTTTGGTTTAATAAGAGTATTGTTGCAGACATTATTCATTGTTGTAGCTATAACTCAAGTCCTCGGACTGCGTGGCTATGATTAAGTGTTTATTAGACAGTGTTAAAAAAAGTGTACCTACCTAACTCTTTTGTTTTTATTGTAAGCCTTTTCAACATTTAAAAGGTTTTTGTATTTCTCTTAACATTTTGTTGTTTTTAGCTATTATATTTCCCAAAGCCGCCACTGATTTCTGTACTAATCTTGCCATGTTCTAGATTTCTTCTCACTTAAAGACGCAGATCCTAAAACGTCATGATACTTTCTGTTTAACTAATCAGAAATTAATAAAAAATGTCTGCAATTAAAAATTCTAGAATTTGCTTAATGTCTACTAACCTGTTATAGAATGACATCCAAATTCCTCTCTCGTTCCCTTTTATTCGAGAATTGATCAGAGTCAAAGTTGGAATCGGCCCTTTCACTATTTTGCGTTCTATGTTCTGTTCAGGAGCTGGAAAAAGAAACATGTATTTTAATCGATGCATAAAATAAAATTTAACACGAATCAACACTTTGCGACGTATAAAGGGCATTATTGGAGTTTTAAGCTTTGATCAATTCATTTTGATTTAGCTGCAAAATTCTTAAACAGCGCTAAAAATTATCTTCGACATTTAACACACACACAACATTTAAAATCGACAATAAATTAATAAACCGTGATAAACCAAACAATTTTACAAAATAAAATCAGTAAAAAAAATTAGACTGTAAAATTGCTATTAGCTATTTACATTTCAAATTAAAATACAATTTTTCACACTTTGCAACTGACAATATCACATAAAATAAACTATGTATTTAGAAACTAGTCAAGATTCTACCATAGGTTAATAACCAGGATTTACTATGGTACATACCTCTAAGACAAGAGACAGCCAGTATAGCCATGCCTAGAGCATCTTCACCACTGTGGTAGTCCAGCACTACAGTGTATGAGGTACTGGTAGTGGGGAATACCAGCTGGTCCTTCCGTACACTCCACACCTGGTCATACATCAATACATTGGTAGGTAATACACTAATACATGGTCATTGTCACTCATTGAGTAGTAGACCAGTCAATTGCTCTCTATGTTTTTAGACGGTGACAGTAACATTTTTCAAAAAAGAGTAACTTTGGAAATGTATCAGAATAATATTGTTTTATTCAGTTAAATTGTAATTTTCCTCTCACCTCTCTAGCTGAGTGCAGATCAGGTCCGTCATGAACCAGAATGTCTTCAGTGCTGCGGTTGTGAATCGGGTTGAACAGTTGAAGTCCAACTACAAAACCCGGTTTACACTGAACAAACAAAGATTGTCATTAAGGCTGTAATGGTAAGCTAAGCTGGGTAATGTTCTAGAAAATATATTACTAATTAACTATATATATATATTTTTCTAAAAGTTAGCTTTGGAATACATTAAGGAAGATCGAATGGATACACAACTAACTCACATAAGAAAACATTTTCAGGTAGTTGATAGTTCAACAGAAATTCTACTACCATTTTTAAATTCTACTATTTTCTCTTAAATTATAATGCTTGGAAAACAAAAATAGAAATTTAATGGGTTACAGGGCTGTATTTCCCTAAAAGGTGGATGGAGGTCTCGGCCTGGGAGGAGGCCTCACAGAATATTTTTTTTCAAAAATGAATTTCACCAATGTATCTTGTACACACTAATGACAACATTAGTGTTGCTTAAAATGTTTAACTAAAGTAAATTAATTTGTTAAACACCAACACACAAAAAGTTCAAACTCAATTCTAAAATAGCTAGTATATAACTACACTTTTAACATGTAACCATAACCTCACCCTGAGATAGAACTGCATGTTGATGGGGTCCAGAGTGACTCGCTGGGTGATGAGTATCTGAGTCTAACCTAACCTAACCTAACCATAACCTCACCCTGAGATAGAACTGCATGTTGATGGGGTCCAGAGTGACTCGCTGTGTGATGAGTATCTGAGTCTAACCTAACCTAACCTAACCATAACCTCACCCTGAGATAGAACTGCATGTTGATGGGGTCCAGAGTGACTCGCTGGGTGATGAGTATCTGAGTCTAACCTAACCTAACCTAACCATAACCTCACCCTGAGATAGAACTGCATGTTAATGGGGTCCAGAGTGACTCGCTGGGTGATGAGTATCTGAGTCTGACCTAACCTAACCTAACCTTACCATAACCTCACCCTGAGATAGAACTGCATGTTGATGGGGTCCAGAGTGACTCGCTGGGTGATGAGTATCTGAGTCTGACCTAACCTAACCTAACCTTAACATAACCTCACCCTGAGATGGAACTGCATGTAGATGGGGTCCAGAGTGACTCGCTGGGTGATGAGTATCTGAGTCTAACCTAACCTAACCTTACCATAACCTCACCCTGAGATGGAACTGCATGTAGATGGGGTCCAGAGTGACTCGCTGGGTGATGAGTATCTGAGTCTAACCTAACCTAACCATAACCTCACCCTGAGATGGAACTGCATGTAGATGGGGTCCAGAGTGACTCGCTGGGTGATGAGTATCTGAGTCTAACCTAACCTAACCTAACCTTACCATAACCTCACCCTGAGATGGAACTGCATGTAGATGGGGTCCAGAGTGACTCGCTGGGTGATGAGTATCTGAGTCTAACCTAACCTAACCTTACCATAACCTCACCCTGAGATGGAACTGCATGTAGATGGGGTCCAGAGTGACTCGCTGGGTGATGAGTATCTGAGTCTAACCTAACCTAACCATAACCTCACCCTGAGATAGAACTGCATGTTGATGGGGTCCAGAGTGACTCGCTGGGTGATGAGTATCTGAGTCTAACCTAACCTAACCTTACCATAACCTCACCCTGAGATGGAACTGCATGTAGATGGGGTCCAGAGTGACTCGCTGGGTGATGAGTATCTGAGTCTAACCTAACCTAACCATAACCTCACCCTGAGATAGAACTGCATGTTGATGGGGTCCAGAGTGACTCGCTGGGTGATGAGTATCTGAGTCTAACCTAACCTAACCTTACCATAACCTCACCCTGAGATGGAACTGCATGTAGATGGGGTCCAGAGTGACTCGCTGGGTGATAAGTATCTGAGTCTAACCTAACCTAACCATAACCTCACCCTGAGATAGAACTGCATGTTGATGGGGTCCAGAGTGACTCGCTGGGTGATGAGTATCTGAGTCTAACCTAACCTAACCATAACCTCACCCTGAGATAGAACTGCATGTTGATGGGGTCCAGAGTGACTCGCTGGGTGATGAGTATCTGAGTCTAACCTAACCTAACCATAACCTCACCCTGAGATAGAACTGCATGTTGATGGGGTCCAGAGTGACTCGCTGGGTGATGAGTATCTGAGTCTAACCTAACCTAATCTAACCTTAACATAACCTCACCCTGAGATAGAACTGCATGTTGATGGGGTCCAGAGTGACTCGCTGGGTGATGAGTATCTGAGTCTAACCTAACCTAACCTAACCTTAACATAACCTCACCCTGAGATAGAACTGCATGTTGATGGGGTCCAGAGTGACTCGCTGGGTGATGAGTATCTGAGTCTGGCCTTCCTCCAGCTCTATGTTGGGTTGAGAGCTGGGCAGCAGTAGAGGGGGTCGGTGGAGGGGAGCAGACGCCTCCTCAGTGGAAGACTTGAACCACCCCGCGATCTCCCGCTGTTGGTACACCGTGAGCGCCGGGTTGTGTCGGATCCCTGCCACCTTGTTGTTCTCTATCACCGAGCCTAGAAGAACAGTATGAATTCAGTTGTAGAAAAATCTAGAGCGAGACGCCTCTTGTCAATTCTATTTTCCCATTTGTCCCACCATCTTGTCTGTCACCATCTCTCATTGGCTGATTACTGATAAGGTGGAGAGGCTTATGGATTGTATGTTCTTAGAAGCCAGCTCTACCCATCATAACCTAGCTCAAGTCAGCTGGAAAATATTTTTTTTAACTGCTATTTAAGCTACCGCTAACTCTGTTCACACACGCTGGTCGTCTAAGTGAACTATAAGTATCTGCATTGCACCATGGGTGCAGAGTTAAATCTATTTCTGACAACTAACATATAGAAATCATTTGTAAATGGCATACAGCAAACTGAGATTGAATACAGGGAGAACTTTTTATTGCTAATTTGTTTTGTAACAACAATGCTAATGGTTTTGGAGTGAAAACGCAATCTCACAACTTTTTCTACCACAAATTATGTTTGATTACCATTAAACTGAAAACCTAAAAGTTTACATCAAAGATTTTTTTACTTAAAACAGAAGATAGAAAGAAGTGAAAAGTCGTTCAAACTGTGACCACATAAAGCGAGCTCAACCAGTTTATTAACCTCAAAGTCTCTTATTAAAAATCATCAAAAAGTGGCATACCTGTGATTTTGAGGCCGAGCTGTTTAAAAGCCACGCCACTACCTCGGTTGTTAGTGAACTCAGAATTGTGGACAATGTTGGGAGCTCCACTGTAAATGTCTGAGTAGATCACACCTAATCCATCTTGCACGTTGTCCACCACCCGCACATTGTCTAGGCTGTGGCGGTACACATCCACTTGAATGGCTGCAACAGACGACATAAACCAAATCATTTTTTGAGCCTTTGAAAGTCTTTTACAATGGCACTAAGCTTCTTTACTGAGTAGCAAGGGTTCTAATACCAATTAAAGAACTAGAGAATTCCTAACACTATCTCTGCAGTAAGAGCACAAGACAAGAGCTAAGGTTTTTTTTTAATTTTTTATGATAGCAGACCTACCTTAGTATAAAAGTATCTAATTAATCTGTAACAAGTCAAACCAAAACTTCACACAAAAGTCCTATGTACAAAATTATCATATTTCACTGTCACTGACAGCATTTTCAGTCAAGAAAGCGTGGAGTTGTGAAGGAGGGGTGGGGGTTGGGGATCTTTAGGTTCTTAACTTCTGCATCTCTTTATGTAGAAATTGCTATTCAAACTACTCTGAAAAGGAATTGGGACAAAAAATGAGGGTTATTTTTCATGCATCTGTGCATAAACTCTGATTTTCTTAGGTACACTAGCTGAACAAAATATCTTTTCAAAAATCTTTAAGGCTAATACCTAAAAACTTTCCTAAAAATTTTCCTTCAACAATTCAGACAGCATTACCAGGTTTGAAGCTGTTGGTGGCATAGTCCAGCAGGCCGGCCTTCTGCACCGTCACGTACTGCAGGTCAGTCCGCTCAGCTGTCCCGGCCAGCCGCACTCCGGCCCAGTGTGGCTCGTAACACCTCAGTCCCACGTCCTGGTCATGAGTACAGGAGTTCTCTAGGTGCAGAGACCTCTCAGCTCTACACTGTGTGATATCGTAGTCCTCCTCCGTACACTGGACATTGCTGAGGACAGAGTATATACATTAAACAGGAGTTTAACATACTGAAAATAAACTAAAGATGTGAGAAAAATGTCATAGTCTGGAACTTTTTGGGGAAAACCCCATGTATGCAGGTGCAGGATCAAAATATAATAATAACCTCCCATAAGCATATGCGATGATTGCAAGATTTGAAAACTCATATCGCACACGTCTTAAAAATCAAAAATATTTTGTACTATTTGAAGAAATGAATGAAAGATCCGCTACATCTTGCATTAAGTATAAGTTTATTTCATTATAAAGAGTGATTATTGTTTTGTGATATTTTCTTAGCATTAAATGTAAGCTAAAGATTGAGGTAGAGTTAATATAAGCATTAACATTTAACTAACTTAAGTTCAAAAAATATTGTTGGAACATTTTATCGATTTTATACCTCATGATGATTTTTTCCGATGTGCCAGCCACTGGGATGTCAGCCCGTTCGAGGAACCAATCATCAGGGTTGAGCACAAGTCCCAGCTGATGGCATACTAGAGCTGCGTCTGTCATGGTCCAGCCATAGTTACATACTGTGCCCCACTCTTCTCCTACCTTCACCTGTAAAATACATATAGAAATGTTGTGAAGAAAGTAAAACCAACTAACATACATAATAACACTTTATCCAGCAACCATACAGTAACGCGACACAAGTGAGCATATAACTCAGAAAACATCTCTTGATGATATGCAAGTTTTGCCAAGTGACTTCACATGTTTCCACAGAAAATAATAAATTAGTTTCAGATATGGTTTGTGTTATATATTCAAGAAGAGTTATTTATGTTATATTATATAGAGGCAAGTTGACCTCACCAAATAGTTTAAATGTTAACTTATCGGGCCTGGTGAAGGAACCAAACCAGGATGAGTCATTCGGTCAAAGTCCAAGAGGCTGACTAGCCGATCGAGAAGGCACAGTGACGGAACGCCATTCGACGTTATGAACCCGGTGAGTAAAGTCAACTCGTACGCTTACAGTGTTAGTAGCATAGTCTGCCAGTGTCCTGTACTTGTCCGGTTCTGTTCATTTCCAACGTCCGAGTCATAAAAGTGGCGACGAGGATAAAACTAAAGTTTATTTTACTGTGTGCGGTTAAAACAAGAGTTTTAACGAGTACGTTTGTAAATATTATTACTATTTTTTCTCGCGATTTTCGGAATATTTGTCGTTTTTAGCAGTGTCCTGCAAGTTTGAGTTGGTCAAGTTGAACCTGAAAAACTTTGTCGTACTTTGCAAAGAGAGTAAAAAGTTGGTTTTTGGGTAAATTGGTGGAAGATTTGTATATATTTTGTATATATTTTGTATTGGAGGAGTTTACGAAGAGTATTTTGTGGAAAAATTCCTGGAATTATGGACGGTGGATGCTGATTGCTCTCTACTGGCAAGTTGGTACCACGTGTTGCACATTGTGCAAAGGATTGTATTTACACTTGTGGCTTCATTTTACCGTAAGTTTGGACTTATTTACTGTAGGCCTATGGAAATAAGGTACAATGGGAACAAAACAAGTATTAGGAAAAATTCAAGAATTCAATGGTGAGTTAGAAACCTTCGAAAACTATGTTGAGAGGTTGGACCAATTTTTTAAAATTAATACGATTAAGAATGAGGACAAGGTCTCTTATTTTATCTCTCTCATGGGCCCTGAATTGTATTCAACCCTTAAAAACATTCTGATGCCAAAAAAACCTAGTGAGGTTACTTATGACGTAATAGTAGCACAGCTTACAGCCCATTTTGTACCTAAGAAGAATATCTCTTATGAGAGGTTTGTTTTTAATAAAAGGAGTCAAAGAGAGGGGGAGACTGTCTCAGACTTTGCTATTCAATTAAAAAAATTAGCGGCTTCTTGCAAATTTGAAAAATTCTTGGATGATGCCCTTAAAGATAGATTTTTGTGTGGACTCAAATCAAATGATATCCAAAGTAGGTTGTTGTCTGAGGGAGACACTTTAACTTTTGAAAAGGCTTTGGAGTTGGCCTTGGTCCTAGAGGAGGCTAGTAGAAATGTTAAGAGTTTTCATCCTGGAGTGTACCAGAACGACAATCAAATATCTGAGGTTAATTACGTTAAGTATAGGCCTAAACAAAGGTTTGGCCCTAGACCTAGTAGTAGCGAAAGTTTGGGTAGGCCAAGTAATAGTGAGAATTTTGGTAGGCCAAGTTGGCCTAATTCAAGGCAAGGTTTACACCAGTTGTGTACTTGTTGTGGTAGAAACCATGAGAGTAAAAATTGTATGTACAGGACTTACAGTTGTAATATTTGCCATAGGAGGGGTCATTTGGCAAAAGTTTGTCGGCAGGCCGCCAGTAGGCCTAGTACTAGAATTAACTATTGTGATGATGGCGATGAAGTTGTAAATCCTCAACCAGGTGCGGAGCATGATAGTGGTGAAGAAGAGCTTGGGCTGTACACCATAGCCTATTCTGACTCTAAGAATAAATCTGGCGCAATTACAGCTGATGTAATGGTAAATGACGTATGTGTTAAAATGGCTATTGATTCGGGGGCAGTAGTATCAGTGATGCCTGAGGATGTTTTCCTCCGGCTTTACCAGGGCCGAGTGCCTAAGCTAAGGGAGAGTAAAATGAGATTGAAGACTTATACTGGTCAATGTATTGAAGTTTTGGGAGAGTTTCAGGCAAATGTTTCGGCTGGAGATGAGTCGCATGTTCTGCCGCTGGTGGTTGTACGGATTGAGCAACCAAATCAACCTTCGCTTTTGGGGCGAAACTGGTTGGCGAGACTTAAGTTAAACTGGAGGGAGATCACGAGGAACTGGCAACCAAAGAGTGGGACTGTCATGCAGCTTGAAGGTAGGAATGTTCCATATACATCTACTTCTAGTGTTGAGGATTTAAAATCAAGATTTCCTACTGTTTTTGAGCCTGGTATAGGAACAATTAGAGATATTAAAGTAAACCTAGTGTTGAAAGAAAATGCCAATCCGGTCTTTTGCAAGGCTCGTAACGTACCATATGCGCTGCAGGATGCGCTTGAGAAAGAAATCGATAACTTAATCAGGAATGAAGTGATGTATCCTGTGACCCAAACTAATTGGGCCACTCCTGTTGTTTTGGTTGAAAAGGGTAACAACTCTATTAGAATTTGTGGCGATTTTAAACAGACAATTAATCCTCAGTTACGCACAGATTATTATCCACTCCCGAATCCAGATGAGATTTTTGCTAAAATTGCTGGTTCAAAATTGTTCTCAAAAATTGATTTGTCAGCTGCATATAATCAACTTAGAGTAGACGAAAACTCTCAGGAGCTTCTAACGATTAATACGACTAAGGGTTTATTTCGTTATTCTCGCCTCCCTTTCGGAGTGACAAGCGCTGGGGCCATTTTCCAATCCGTCATGGACAAGATTTTGAATGGGTTGGATAGAACATTTTGCTATCTAGATGACATTTTGATTGTGGCTCAAACTCATGAGGAAATGCACCGAAATGTGGTTGCAGTATTGTCGAGACTAGAGCATTATGGGGTAAAAATAAACCCCGCTAAGAGTGAATTTTTTAAGGATAGCCTAATTTTCTTAGGGCATAGGCTAAGTGAAAATAAAATACAGCCTAGTGAAGAACTGTCTAAAGCTATTGTTAGTGCTCCCAGGCCAGAAAATTTGACACAGCTACGATCCTACCTGGGGTTGATCAATTATTATAGTAAATACCTCAACAACTTGTCTAATTTGCTTCAACCATTGTATGGTCTGCTAAACAAGGGGGTCAAATGGGGTTGGTCTGAACAGTGTGAGGAAGCGTTCCAGAAGAGTAAGGAGCTTTTGTTAGGAGATAGAGTTTTGATTCCATACGACCCAAAGTTAAAAGTGATTGTATCAGCTGATGCCAGTCCTTATGGGGTAGGAGCGGTTATCTCACACCAAATGCCTGATGGGTCTGAGCGACCCATAGCCTATGCTTCCCAAACACTAACGGTGCATGAAGTGAAATATTCGCAAATAGAGAAGGAGGCCCTCGCCTTAGTGTTTGCAGTAAAAAAATTTCACATTTTCCTTTATGGCAAGAAGTTTCTTTTGGCTACTGATCACAGGCCTTTGACGTTTTTATTAGGCCCTACCAGGAGTATACCTACCTTAGCCGCTGCCCGTGTACAACGTTGGGCTCTGATCCTATCGGCCTATGAATATGAGATTGTTTACAAGAAGGGTTGTGATATGGCCAATGCCGATGGGCTTTCAAGGTTACCATGCCAAAATGAGAAGCCGGGACCGGAAAACACAGTTGCGTTTTTCTCCATAGCAAACGAACTACCGGTTACTGCCAAAGAAATTAGTACAGCAACTCGTTACGACCCGATCTTGTCAAAGGTTCTTGATTTTACGATCCATGGATGGCCAGAATACGTAAGCAACGAACTTCTGAAACCGTATGTTGTGAGGAGCCATGAATTGTCCGTGGATGGAGATTGTGTTTTGTGGGGGAGGAGAGTTATTATCCCGGAACCGTACCGGAAAGAAATCTTGTTTTTGCTACACAAAGAGCACCCTGGAGGCTCAAGAATGAAAAACCTGGCACGAGGGTATGTATGGTGGCCGAAAATGGACTCGGATATTGAAGAGCTGGTTAAAGGCTGTGGAATTTGCCAATCAACTCGCAACGCTTTGCCCCTTGCCCCATTACAGCGCTGGTCTTGGCCTAACCAGCCCTGGCAGAGAGTCCATGTGGATTTTGCGTCTTTCCATAACAAGGAATTCCTAATTCTGGTGGACAGTTACTCTAAGTGGCTGGAAGTGTTTCAAATGCAAACGACAACATCGGCAAAGACAATTGAAAGATTGAGATCTTGTTTTGCGGTATTCGGACTGCCTTGTACTTTGGTGAGTGATGGAGGACCTCAATTGAGATCCCAGGAATTTGAAGAATTCTTAAAGGCAAATGGCATTTTGCATGTAGTTAGTCCGCCTTATCATCCGGCTAGTAACGGCCTTGCTGAGCGTGCTGTCCAAACTACTAAGAACACCTTTTTGAGACAAATGCTGCAAGATGAAATGTCTAAATCTAACAGGTCCGTTCAACATCGCATTGATAGTTTTTTATTTGTGTATAGAAATACACCACATACAGCAACCGGTTGTTCCCCAGCAGAAATGTTTTTCAAATTCAAGCCTAGGACTCATCTTTGTTTATTAAAGCCACATTTGGAAGCTAAGGTCAACGAAAATCAAGAACGTATCATTCAGACAAGGAACAAGGGGGTAACTCCCCGGAACTTTGATGTGGGACAAAAGGTATTCGTAAAAAGCGTCAGGAATGAAAGGTTAAACTGGCTGCCTGGTATTGTTGCAAAAATTGTAAGTCCTATGACCTATTTAGTGAAGACCGAGGGCCGTACAAGATTTGTTCATGCCGACCACTTACGTGAGAACCATGTGGTGTCAGAGGATGAAGAGGATACAATAATTCCATGCCCAATACCAACTACGCAAATTATTAAATCACCCCCTGCAAGGCTGGATGTAGGAATTCCTGTACCTAGTACTCAGCCAGAGACATCTGATGTGCAAGAAAGTGTATCCCCATCCAACGAAGTCAAGAATAAAAGTCCAGGCCCGCATAAGAGTCCTAAGGTGCTTTTGTGTCGATCTCAAAGAGAGCGGCGAGCGCCTACAAAATTAGATTGGTAAAAAAGATTTGGTTTCCCCCCCCCAAAAGAAGAAGTTGTTTATTTTTGTTTTATAATCGGTTGGGAGGGAATGTTATATATTCAAGAAGAGTTATTTATGTTATATTATATAGAGGCAAGTTGACCTCACCAAATAGTTTAAATGTTAACTTATCGGGCCTGGTGAAGGAACCAAACCAGGATGAGTCATTCGGTCAAAGTCCAAGAGGCTGACTAGCCGATCGAGAAGGCACAGTGACGGAACGCCATTCGACATTATGAACCCGGTGAGTAAAGTCAACTCGTACGCTTACAGTGTTAGTAGCATAGTCTGCCAGTGTCCTGTACTTGTCCGGTTCTGTTCATTTCCAACGTCCGAGTCATAAAAGTTTGGGTCCTTTATGCAAAAATCTATTTAGCAAAAACACATTTTTGCTTTATGTACTACATGACATGTTCCACGATATTTCTTAAATTAGCCTTAAACCTCTTTCACATTCAACAACAGAGGTTAAACTGTTATTGGTGATGTGAGGTCCTACAGATGGATAAAGGGGTTGGAAACTTGAATCCAAACGTTGAACTTGCATTTGAGCCAACAATCAGAACCCCCATATGTCCAAAACAAATCTTAAACAGTAAACGCTAACAGCCTAAAATTTGAATTCCAAAAGGCGTCTATGTTGCATTTACAGCCTTTTAACTAAACTATTATGTGTTTTAATATTTGCTTTTAAAATCCCACGACTAAAATGCATTGTGTTCATGCAAAATATCCAAGTTTGTGTTGGAAACTTGTAGAGAAAATTAAATAGCCCTATGATCATTAGTATACCATGATTACCTGTAGTCTACCCTCTTTCTCAGTCCGTCCACCCAACAGTCTCACAGGGGTGGGGTCAGATGGGGGGAGGGGGGCTTCTGTCTCCGTCTCTGTCTGTTGCTCCATGACACTCTCTTCTTGTAAAGTCAGCAGAACGTTGTTCACCTTTCGTCCCCGAGCTTCCAGCTTACCTGCCACCATCATACCAACCCCAGGGGGAAACCTGTAGAGAAAAATATTTTTATAAATATGTTTGACTATCCTTTATTCTTTTGTGGTTGTATCTACCAAGTTCCTTTAATTGATAGAGCAAGGATGTAATATAGAGCACAAAAGCTTAAGTATTAAGGATTTTTAAGGATTTAAGGATAAGCAGGCTTGTCTGAATGGGAAAGAGTTTGCACACAGAAACATTTTTAACTTTACATCACACAAAAATTTTAATATTTCACTCTCATATATCAGTCAAAAATGAGCACACTTTAAACTGTCAAACTCTGTCACCTCAAAAACTTATGTTTTGCAATATTTACTGTAAGGGTGATAGTCAAGGCTACACTGTGTATTGTCTGTTGACTTACCGCAGCACCACACCAGGCTGCAGAGTAAGTCGTCCTTCAGGCCGGATGTTGATATCCCTCAGGACTCTGTACTCTCCAGGTCTCAGACTCTCCAGACCATCCACCTCTCCTCCAACCGCGTCTGTCCCCTCCACATGAAACTGTGGGACAAACTGGTTGATCTGGGAGATGGTACGGCTGCCAGGGTTGCTGCTGTGAAGGAGGAATGGGATGAACCGGATTTTGGCCAGGTTGTATCGGTCCTTCCTGTAGACAATATAGACAATAATTTTAGCAGGTAAGAGTCAACTCCTGAATAAGATCCCTGATGCCAAAAAAGGTAATGGAGAGGTGAAAGCACACAAAATATGAAAATGTTGATAGCCAATTAAGGATCAAAGGATTTAAGGGTAGAGGTTTTAGTTAATACCATCTTGGGTCAAAATGGAAATTAAATAAAAGTAGTGTTTTAGATGAAAAATTACACTCTTTCAGAATTTTGTGATAACCAAAATTAACTTTTAAATAACAAAAATCCCAAAGAGTATGTAGTCTTATTAGTTTTTTTACCTAACCCGCCATGTTAAACTTCCCTATCCCAAGCGTGATGTATACAACTTCCTTACTTCTCGAGTGATGTAAAGTATCAAAAACTCACTCGGTGATGTAAAGAAACCCTTTTAAATAACATTGAGTGCTTAACTTAAAAAATATAACTCTATGGAGCCAACGACGTTCAACGCTAGAAATCAGCTGTGCGCTTGAATGTTGTTGTTATGCTTTAAAGTATTTTCCTAACCTAGCTTTTGCAATTTTGTTAGTAAAAGAACGTTACTGATAGAAGATGAGTGAAATGGATAGCGAAAAATATTGTACGTAAACCCATGTATATTGTCGGGTTAGGTAAAATCTTGTACGTTACACGTTACGCAAGAGCGTGATGACATCACTTAGGTAAATTATGCAGCGCTGCGTGATGTAAAAACGCTCTTACTACACTTGTAATGTAAATAGCTATTCATATAAAAAGCTTTAAATTTAATCATACATTTTCAGTTCACTACGGTTGATTTAGGGGGTGAATCACCAAAAATGTATTTTTTTAAAGTAAGTTAGCAGGCTTTTACCAACCTCAACTAGGCCTATACTTCTATGATCCTGATGGAAATTTGTGAGTTGAAATGCTTACTATGTGACAAAAATCAAAGATCTTCTTAAAACAAATCATTAAAACACCTAACTAAAAAATACTAAAATTAGTGTGACTTAAGTAACTGGAATACCCCTGAGCCTAAGATAGAGGATTTTAAAAAATCATCCGTACCTATCAAACACTCTCTCAAATATCTTCTCCTCGCTGGTTGAGCCGAGCCAGTTGAAGGTGCAGTTTATCAGCTGGCTCTGGTCTTCTAGGTGTGAGCCGACCTCGTACACCGAGTCAGGGTTCTGAAGGATGTTACGGAACACGTCTACATTGGGCGATGATACTACCAAAGGAGCTGCCACACGACTGCGGGGAATTAACCGAGCCTCTTCCTCATCTCCTGCAACACAGAACAGGAATTAATACTTTTTTAATCTAATCATACTTGGATCCAATTACTTTACTGCCACTGATCAATAATCATATTTGGAGCTACCAATTTGTGTATGATTGTCTTTAATACTTTACTGTCAGCACCCTTGTGGTAAGGACATGTTGAATATCTACAAACATCAAACCAACGCTCATCCAACAGTTAATACATACTACTTCTTTAATTCACGCCAATAATGAAAAAGAACAATTGATCACTATAAGATTTTTTCCTTTGTCCCAATCTGTACAAAAGTCTTGAAGTTTGTACCGGTAATACTCACTTCTGAAAATGAATCAATCAAATATGTACTTATTAAAACTAATCAATTTTGAATACATGCAATACAACCTTTATTTGTCAGTTATTCTACTTCCAACTCTTCAACTATAAAACTTTTTAGGTCAAGATATTCTGAATTTAATGTACAAATAATTTATATCCATGAAATATTTGTTTAAGTTCGATTGTTTACTTTAAGAGACCTCACAGTTCTCAAAATTTAACGTATATAGCCTGTAAAACTTTAACATATACCAAAATTCTCACCATCAAATGGTTCCCGTATCCGGTTCCTCCTGATGAAGTTCCAGGTGAAGAGTATATAATGCACTTCACTGTACGCAGACAACCCGATGTTGACTACATAAACTCCACTGTTCTCCACAAACTCGTTGTTTCGAATCACAAATCTACTTGGCATAACCTCCAGCTCCTCCACTGCGTCATTCTTGATCAAAACTCCTCCGTAAGTATGGCTTGTCATCCGGTTAAACTCTATCACTCCATCCATGTTCACGGCCGGCCGGATTTTGATTCCCAACTTCTTGTTTTGTGAAAAAGTGTTGTGACCAATTTGTAATCTTGTAGAAGGGGCGTTCTGCTTCCAGCATGACTTTATCTGTAGAAAAAGTAATGTTTTAGTAAAATAAAATTAAATAAATTTACTCTACCCCTGACCTAATATATTCATACAAAGATGCCATTTGATATACAGACTGTCTCAAAAGTCCCGGACCGGTTTAATATTTTCTTTACGACAACAGATAAATCAATAAGATTTGGTACATCAACACCACACCTAAAAATCTACTTTTTTATGGAAATATAAATTTTCTGTCACATCATGGGGACGTCCCGCAAGGAGTCAGAAGGAAATCTTAAATAGAAGCATAGGTTGACATGTACATCAAATTAAAGGTCTTTACTAGCAGAATATAATGCTGCAAATTTGAACTCAAACGGACAACCAAGTCAAGAATGACAGTGGTTCAAAGATTCATTAAATTTGCATTTGGGGGCACAGCCCTAGGAATCGGAAAAAAATTTTTAACGTAAGCATAGGTCGATATGCACATCAAATTAAAGGTCTTCACTAGTAGATTACAATGCCGTAAATTCAAGCTCAAAAGAACGCCTGAGTAAAAAATGGCAGTCGTTCAAAGATTCAAAATGGCAGGTTCAAGGAATCTTTGAACGGCCGCCATTTTGTAACGGGTGATCCTTTCGAGGCGCGGTTTCCGGCATTGAACTCTGCTAGCTAAACCCTTTAAACTGATGTGCATATTGACCTATGCTCCTATTTAAAATTTCCTTCTGACTCCTCGTGGGACGTCCCCATGATATGACAGAAAATTGATAGTTCCTTAAAAAAGTAGATTTTTAAGTGTGGTGTTGATGTGCAAAATCTTATTGATTTATCTGTTGTCGTTTAGAAAATATTAAACCGGTCCGGGACTTTTGGGACAGTCTGTAGATGCAAACAACATTAGTCTGAAATGTAAACCCTCAAACATTGAATGTTACTGATATTAATACTAGTATACCAATATACATTTTGGAGAGGTGTTCATGTAACTCTAAATGCTTGGCAATGCTCCCTCCTTCACCAAAAATCCATCCATATTGGATCCTTTGATGGAGTTGTCTTAAATTATATAATCCAGAAGGTAATATTACTTGACATCAATGTTCTCTAAAAAATCAGAAGTAGCAACAGCAGTAAATTTACTCCAAAGACTTTTGTAACAGCTTTTGAAACAGACAGGCACTAAACATCAAGTTAAATGTATTGGTAGGCCAACCAAACTTCTAAAAGTCACCTCGATCGCAGTGTTTAGACTGAGGTTGAAGAAGTTGCCGGTGATATTGACGATGGAGTCGCCACAGAAGTTTCCCACCAACAGTCCGGTCTCCAGGTTGCGGAACAACTCACTGTAAGCAACACTCGTCTCTTGTTGGAAGGATTGGTACTCTGGTTCCTTAGTGTCGTTCAACCTGTTAAAAAATCATTATTACTTTGTATTCTTTCTGATAGTAGCTGGTTTAGAGCTCACCTGACAGTCAAAATGTTGCCAATTAGATATAAGATAAGTATATGTCTATATGTTAATCGGGTGTGAGCTATCATCATGATCATACCAAATTTCAACCAAATCCGACCAGTAGTTAATGTGTGATTGAACTTCAAACAAACATACAAACAAACAGACAAGCACACAAACATTCACATTTATAATATTAGTATGATGATTACTGAGACAAAGTTTATGGTGATTTACATCCAAAGCCTTATTACTTACCACACAGCCATTCCAAAGCCCTGATTGGACGAGAGTGAAGACCTAGTTACATTTACGACACCACCAGTGAAGCTGACGTTAACTCCGTCACCTACGTTGAACGCTATCCTGGCATCGGAAATGTTTACATAGCCAACTCCCCTCAGCACATGAACACCTGATAACAACCGTATAAAAGTTATACACAGAGTAAGCAAATTTACTTAGAATTTATCATATTTTTTACACACTCTACATATACCAGGCAAAAACATACTTAAATATTGTCTTCAGCTGATTCATTAGGATGACAAATAAAAAGGGGTTTGTTTAATCAGTGTATTATCTAATTAAGTTCTATCCAATAAAAAACAAATATTTACCTGCAATATGGTTATTGTGAGAAACATCACTCTGAGAGAGATGAAATTGGCTTCTGAAGCCCTCCAAAGCAATTCCTCGGCCATTGTTGTCTTCAACCTTTGAATCTTCAACCACGTTCAGATCGAACCATTTTCCTAAATCAAAAGAAATAATGATCAATATATAGTAGTTTACGCAACGATTGCGTAAAGATAGTGTTAACGACACGAGTAGAAAATTTAAGGTACGAGCCTTGGCGAGTGCCTTAAAAACTTCTACGAGTGTCGTTAACACTATTTACGCGAGTTGCGTACACTACTTTACCAATGACAGTATTTTAATTACTAAAAATCACTACTTATAACTTCTAAGAGAGGTTATGTTTTCGTTTATAACCTCCCATTGCCACTGCCAGTGATGCAACGAATTATTGAACCAAACACTAATTTCACCAATCATTAGAATTAAATTAGTAAACAGCTGATTAGTTGAAGTTCGAATCATTACAATTTTACTTCTTCTTTCTCAATCCTTGAAGCTCATTGGTCCGTTACCCGTGTTGTTATGAGTAAAACTATGCTGTTATGAGACACTTTTCAATTCTAAGAACTGAAACGGCAACTTTAAAAAACGGTCGTAGGTAAAATACTTTATTTCGAAATGAAAATATTTAGAAAGATTAAATTAGAAGAATTGTTGGTAATGTACCTTCTTTGTAAATAAAATTATATTGTCTGTACATGATCATGAAGTTTTTGGTTATTTTTATGTTTTAGAACCTATGAAAGCAACAAAAATGCCAATTTAGGCTGCTTCCTTCAGTAAAACTAAAGAACTGATCAAGATCAATATCTTTTTCCTATCCTCTAAAATGTTGAGATGTCTTTGACTACTAAAATCAGCCCAACTAATTTGAAATACCATACCTAAAACAAAACAATAAACCTTCAAAAACCTAGTTATTGATCAAAGCGTACTTCAATGATTCTGAACTAAATGTATTTTTTATTACTTTTACATTATGAGTTAGTTGTATAAAAATTACATATTCCGACAATTTAAAAACTAGTAGTAGTAACGATGTAACTCACGTCGTTCAGTTGTGATCCTGATAAGAGTTTCCGTCTGAGTAAACTGTTCCGCGGAGAAAGCGAGGAACAAATTGTTTCTAGTAGTGGTAACACTCTGGGGTCGGCTAGAGTTGCGGAACTTAACAGATCCCAGCAGTCGACTTGAGGCTGTCCGTCCATCAAACATCAGGAGTGAGGTGCTGTCGTTGCGATCTGTCACTGTGTAGAGGAACTGTATGGTTAGCACTTGGTCACTAGTGGTGGAAAATGTCTGGAAACAAAAGTATGAGTTAGGCTAGTTTTGTTTATGAAAAAAATAATTGTCCAGGATTGTGATTTTGAGGATAAAGGGATTGTAGCTAACTTACCTTAGAAAAGATTTGAGGTAGCCCATGGTATCTAGAAAACACACAATATTTTGTTCCCTGGGGTATGTTAAGTATAAATAAAGAGATTTTCTGTCCAACTATCTTTTTCCACATTTGAAAAAGTCAGGAGACAAACTACTGTGTTTACTGCAGGGTTGCCACCCTAGGTTAAGGAAAAATCGGGAAATGGCCCCCCTCCTGCCGGATTAACATAGGCTTAAATACGGGCATATAGGAACCAAAATCGAGACGGGACGGGTGGCAACCCTGGTTTACTGTGTCTTCTGAGTGTACTATGGTTTGCCAGGACTTTTTTAAGGTAAGCTAACTTGCTACCTCTTTTGTTCTTGAACAAGAGAATGTTTCAAGAAACTATTATCATTACAGTTATATTGAGACGGAGACACAAACATGTGTATTTTAACCTCAATAAGAGTGAAAAAAAACAACTTAAGAATGGAGTGAGGAGCATTGTGCGGATTTGTTTCTATGACTTGCCAGAACAAAACAGCAATCAATTAAGAACATAAACTGTTTCTACAATCCAGGACCATTTTAAACCCAATGACTGTGAACAGGCTGGATCTACTTTCAAACTATCAAAGACCTCTTGATTTTTCTTCCCAGTAAAGATGAGGAATTTTTTTGTAGAAGAGCTGAGCTAGGACTAGAGTTTTTTATTGAAACACTTTAATACTTCAACAATATGAATACTAAAACAAATAACAACAGTTTGGCATTTGACTGTTATAACAATCTACAACTAAACCAGCTAGCTAGACTGATTACAAACCTTATGACAATCCCTGGCTGACCCGTAGAGGCTCTGAGCTAATGAGATGGTCACTGGGAAGATCATGTGTAGAGTGGAGGGGAATGTACAGATGTCTTGTATACCATCTCTCAAGAAATGTGTCTGGTCGTGGTGAACATACCTGCAATAAAATACTGTGAATAAAAAGTCTACAACAACTATTTCTATTAAAATTTAATAAATTTACAATTTAGTAGTCTGATGTGATATTATCAAATATTAAGGTAGGCACAGATATTCAATACAACATGATTAAAATTATTAAACTTCTTGATCAGCATTGTACGTGTTATTAAATATACGGAAAGTAAATAAAGATATGTCTAATAACACTTAAAACAAATATTTACGCTTATACTGTTACTCACAAGACGGTTAATATACAAAAGATGGTAAGTGGTGATCGATTTCGATTGGACACTCCAATCATCATCAGACCCAATAGTCGAATGAATCAGTAGTTACAACGTATCTTTATTTACTTTCCGTCAAATTATTTACAAGTCTGCTTGCATCAACAATTTATCACATACAATAATAATAGTGGCATTACCTTATACCATCAGCTCCGTTGCTAGAGACTGTTGTACCACTGAGTTGGACCCCCCCTGTAGAACTGTTGATGTAAACTCCGTAACCTGTGCACATTAGTGGTAAATTAGTATCACAACTACAACACAAGTAGACTACAACTAAGATATATTTCTAAATAGTATCTTTAGCGAATTTCCATGTGGCAGACTCACAGCTTTGCCACTGAGGATGCCACATGATAGAATGGGCAAAACATCTTGTTTTGTACATGAGTGTAAAACCGATTTGATACGGCTCTCGCCAGAAGACGAGGAATTTAGTGATTTAGATCAAATAGAGAAAATTGGAGAGGTATAATTGTTAATGGCTGTAGAGCAAAACGGGGAGGGGTGGGTTTTAGAATAAAAATATCAGAAGATTTGATGAAGGCTAAGATGGTTTTGTTCATGTGAAACAAATGCAAGAAGATGGAGTTGATAATGATGTAAGACCAAGAAGGAAACCTAGAAGAAGGTGGAGAGGATGTGGAGAAAAAGTGGAATGAGATGGTAGATGATCAAGGAAAAGGAACTGTGTAAGGGGAAAAAGTTTACTCCCCAATATCTTTAATTTAGGCATGGTCGACACTCAGACCTGGGAATAAAAGAGGATATATACTGTATATTTGAGGATGTGTATATGTCATACAAATTTCCCTGTCAAGTCATTACAAACCTCTGTTGTTGATGATGGTGCAGTTGTGTACAGTGAAGGGAGCCTGGGGGTTGGTGAAGTTGACTCCATTGTAGGCAGAGTGAGCCACTGTCACGGACACCAGTCTGGGAGGAATACCTTCCACCTCCAGAGCTGAACTGGCGTTGTAGTCCCTACCTGATCCTGCAAACCTGGGCAAACACAAACACTTATATAACTCAATAGCAGAGTACCCGTCCTACGTACGGGGTTGGCGTATCTATAATATTAAAACGAAACAGTGTTTTTTTATTTCACGATTCCGAATCAACCACTCGACGGATTTTCATGATTTTTGTGTTGAAAGAAAGATAATTTTAAAAACTAGGGAATGTCGAAGCCATAATTTTAGTTTAGGGTCCCAGTTTTTTAGAAATTAAGTTTTAATTTTTAAAAAGTCTAGCAGCCGACGCTAAGATTCTAAACTAGCTTTTGGCATAAAATAATTTGCTTAACATAACAGCTGTAAACATTCAGCTTTTGTGTCACAAATTCAGCATTTGGATAAAAATGTTAAGACATACTTAGGGTTGACTTATTTATACTATGTGTAATGCTAATCATTGATACGTTTAATTCTTCTGTAAGAGGATGACAGATTAATTAAATATACATAGTTAAATACTAGGATGTTCAAATTATTTTTTAAAGCAATCTTTGTAATCTTCGATTTGTTTTAGAGCAATATAATTTGTTTTAACTAACAGCTGGTTAAATATAAACTATGGAACTCTGAGGTTATTTTATTTACTCTTATTTTGTCATTGATTATAGAAAATAAGTACAGTAATATTAGTAGAGACCAGAGTTTTAACAAAAATTAATTAAACCACAGTATAAATCGAGGCTCTGTACACGAGTCTTAATAAAAAAAGGATAAATGCAATTAATTTACTGCTCCACTAATGTTTGTCTGCTTTAACTTTGTTTGGATTAGGCCCGGAAATATTGATGTCATAAAAAGAAGATCAAGAATAATCAGGAATCACGATTTTAAATTACCACCATAACCTCAGCCGGGTTTTATACAAAGATAAACAGATGGATGACATAGATTGAACACAACGTCAACATTGACCTAGGATACTGCAATTAGACAAACCATCCTTTTATGAAATCCTGTTCAGTTGTGGTTACGTTTGGGGGTGCCCATATCAGCGCTATGGGCTATTTTCAACTATGAATATATTGTAGTTTAAATTAACTTATATGGGAAATTACGATGTACATTTATTCAATGAGGGTGGGTAATTATCAAGGATAGAACTGATAACGGTATGGATAATAAACATTGACAATTACGTCACTAGCTTTACTAGCGTGTTTACTTTTTATATTCCTGCTACATGTGACCATTTATTTTGTTCAAATGAATGTTATTTGAACCAAACAGCTGTTTCAAAACAAAATGTTATTGTTTTTACTTTCCTTTGTTTACATTTATTTATTTAGCAATTAATGCAGTGAAATTGATATAAAGGAAAGGTGTGACGATTAGTTTTTATGTTAGGACACCAAAGTTAAATTATGTGTACTGTGAATTTGATTGGATATTATCGTTTTATTTTAGGTCGTTTCTACTCAGACCTACTGGAAATTGTGTATGGTAGTTGTATTGTGGTGATAATAATTATGGAAGAGGCAGGTATGCTATGGAAGGTGGTATCGTTGACTAGGTCTATACACTTCTCAATTGACTATTACTCTCTCTACTGTAGGCTACTTATAATCAGTGTGCGTCTGTGCGAATCGGCTGCAAATCTCACTTCAACGCTTTTCACATCGTAAAAATTGCAGAATTGCTGTTTTATTGTAAAATATAGATTATCGGATTTAAAATGCATATCGTATAGGCCTATGATGGAATAAAAACATATTTGGTCACACAACATTTGTTTACAAGATGATTTTTCACATTAAAACTGCAAGAAACTTTGTCTTTATATGTGTAAACTAGCTGATCTGAATTGTACACGGTTTTAACTGACTACTGAATTCCCGTACGTAGGACGGGCTAACACCTCGTAAGTATTTAAAATGTTTTTTTGCAGTTATGCTCAAGCTTTCTGTGTGCAATGGAAGAGGACACTGTTTAATAAAATTTGGTTCTTTTAATTTAAGGTATGCTATATTATAGCACATCTACCATACCTATAATGTTCTAACTTACCACTGCACCTAAACAAAAGAAAAAAGTAAAGTTCTCATTGTGTATCACTTGCTTGGTTCAAATTAGCTTTTGTCATAAATTCCAAAAGATTAATAGCGATGCACCCTGTTGGTAAACTTTATAACTTTATTTTGCTATTGAATATCATAGAACCAACTTGTGTAGTTGAGACAGCTGACTAAATTCTTTAATTCCTTTTAAATATCAATACTCATAAGGTTAACATGGGAAACTTCAGAGCCAGTGGGGCAGAGCCCTAAAGGATTTTTGAGATGAGAATATGTCTATATGTTAAACGGGAACATGAGCTATCATCATATCACATTTCAGCCCAATCCGACCAGTATTTAATGCGTGATTAAACTTCAAACAAACAAACAAACACACAAACTTTCACATTTATAATATTAGTAAGATAAAACAAAACAACTATCATTTAACACAACTGCTATTCATACATTTATCAACTGTTTACAAACAAATGAGGTGATTTTTACTTTAAGTCATACATCATCGTTAATTTTTTAGACAGCCTCGCACAAGGTGCACAATAACAATGAATATATGAATATGAACGCAAGATGAGTGTATAATGTTGAGTATGACAAGCTATATCTTTGTTTTTAAGATCAGCTGTTTCTTTAGCCACCCCAATTTAAAAACTCAATGATCAAGGATCTGTAGGTTTTTAAACCAACAAAAACTAGACTTTTCTCAGGATCTATGTTGTGTGCGCAGCACACCATTAGCATTTGTTTCCATTTTTAAGGAAACAGTAAAAAACCCTTGGGTTGTAACCATTCAACGTCAACAGGTTGTTGGATTACGTCCTTTTTTGATAGCCCAATTACAAACATAGGACCAGAATCGACCCTGTTCAAGTATATTGTGATGAAAGCACTAATTCACAATTGCCTTGCATTCGCATTATTAAAAAATTTTCTTTCAAATGTTTGATTTTATTTTTGATTATTATTTTCTAATGATATTTTAGTTAACTTGTTTTTAGACAACTCACATATTAACATATAACATAGGAAAGCATTTCAAAATTAATTATTTGTACTACATGGAATAGAATGATTCTCCCAAACTGCAGTTCACTGTATTGTGTGTTGGAGAAACTAAACATGCAATCTATTTTTGTTATCAGCTGTATTATTCAATGCATTAAAAAAATAACTTAGTTGACAACTTTTATCAGTGCCGATGGTGTTGTTAGAACTTAGCCTATATGACAGTCTTTTATATCTATAGCCTACAATTTAAATAAGGCCAACTGATTTACTAATTAATACATCTATATCAGTAGTTCATATGTCTTAAAATAATGAGGAGTTTCAGTTTTTAATTTCAAACACAAAATCTTAATCTTTAATAGTCAAAGTCTGTACTTTCTTCAACACCTTTAGGTCATCATTTAAAAGGTTTTACTTCAAAATATACGTTCCTCTGTTCCCTCTATTACTCTAGAGAACTCTATACTCACCGCATAAAACTAGCAATAAGAGTTTACTTACCTGTGTTCGGAGACATTTATTTATTTTAGGTCACTTTTAACAACAGATTGCTCGAATAGAAACACAGGTAACTAATTTGTTAATTTCAGGAACAAGAGCCCAATTCATTATCAAGTTTTTTTTTTAATTTCTTTTAATTTTTATTGATTATGTGTGGGCGACAAGGTTCTTAAGTGTGTCAGCTACATTTTGGGGTACTGCAATCTCCTTCCCTATCTCCAGTGGCCATTTTTTATAGTTAAATAGTTTCATGTGGGTCATACATCAAAACAAAACACCCGAACACACTATATTTAACTGCTCAAACTACAAAAGCATAAAACCTCCCTCAGTTTTGACTGGTATTAGTTTTTGCTGACCTGATATCTACGAAGGCCAGCTCTGACTGTGACACAGGGAGTCTCAGAGTGTTAAAGTTAACCAGATTCTCGTCATGTTGAGCATACTGGAACTTCAATCCTCGCCAGTGATGTACAACAGAAGATGAGGTCTCGTGGTACGGCAGGCACTGCAGGCCTAGGTCTGGATGGAAGTCTGGAAAGAAATAAAGAGTTAAGAGAAGCTTTGGGATTCCTCCTATTTATTACAGCCATGGAAAATAAATTCAGTGCAATGTCACTGCTAAATGTAATGTAGGTACATATTGTAATATAAAATTATTTATGCTATAGTTTTGCGTCAAACGATCCGTGTTGTAGTTCTTATCAACTACAGCCGATGGGGCACATCTTCAGGTTGTCAGAGCGTTAAAATAAAAAGCACTTTCACCCGTGTATGAATTTGTCAAGATATATAATGTATATTATACACGAAATACGCAAAAACACAACATTTTAACGACACAACTTAACAAACTTAGCCAAAAGTTACGAACACACAAGATAGGGCGCGGTGGATGTTGCCTCACGACCTAGTCATGAAGAGTCATGACGTCCTACAGACCTCACTCGAACATTCAAATTAAATTCATGAGGGCATATTTCAGGTTTTCAGCGCTTAAAAAAACTCACGTCTCATGAATAGTTTCAAGGTTTTCACAGTTGAATGGGCGCAATGTAAAATATATTATTCTGACACAAAATATAGAGTACAAACTCACCACAGACTCCAGAACCAAGTTGTCGACTGTTCCAATCACACTCTTGCAGCGTGGCCTCGTTGCCCCGACAAGAGGGGGCTTCCAGCAGCAAGCGGGGGCGGGACACACCCCACTGTCTATCATACCAGCCACCCCAGGCCCCGCCTTGCCAGCCAAGCTGTCTACACGCCACCTCCATGTCTGCTCTGGTCCAACTGGGGAGAACATCATTGGAATGTTTGATTACTTGGTTGTTGTAAGTTCAAAGTTTTGCATAGCTAGCCATGTACCAAGTTGTTTTAAATGTGCAAACTTAAACAGGAGGATAATCTGTTTGTCATTATTTAAACATCTTTTGATGCCAAAAATGGAAAACACATTTTTAGTCAAAGCTATTAGTTTGTTATTTGGTTGTTTGGTTGTTTTTATGTGATAGATTTGATCATTGAAGGCCTATACAAGGCAATAAAAGATGTTTTGTATGTCAGAATTGGCTTTAACTATTTAATTATTTTAGCTATCAGGATTGAGGACAATGAATGTAATATCACAGTCGAAATTGTCTAACATCTTTAATCTGTGATAATATAGGCCTATAGTTTACGTTCCTTAACTGTTGTCAAACCACTATCCAGCAACATATTATTAGTTTTGGCATCAAACCATTTTCTAATCTCTTAAGATTTTTGAAATTGTCAAAACTCAAAACCCCATTTCATTACGACAAATTTCAAAATAGGCCTACACTAACAAATAGACAAAAACATTAAATAAAAATTACCGTTGACATTTACTTGGCTAACCGATACATTTAAAAAAAAAAATATTTGTATCCTTATATTTATTATTTCAATGTTTTTGACAATTTTTTGTGAGGTTTTGAAATGGAGTAATGAGGCTCCATAACTCACTATGGTCATCTAATAAAAAATTACGACAACAGCTACATAACCTGAATAACACAACAAGTGTTTGTTTTTAACATTACAACAATTGATTGTTACTCACTTTCTACTGTTGGAACACACATCCCGCCAAGCTCCATTGTGAAGGATCTGTAGGCGGCCGGAGAGAGGTGATGGTCCGTCTACTAGTCGCAGCTGAGGCAGCGATGGACTCCGCTCTGGCTCGGACAGACTGCTGAACACAATCCGCTGATCCGGCAGACCCTAGACATACCATTTAGGTTAGCCACTTGGTTAGGTTTGATGTTGAATAATACAATATTACATTGTATATTTGGGACCAATCTTTTAAAGTCAATACAGTCCCGGATAAATATTGATTCTCAATTCTTGGATCTAGTACTTTTCCTAAAAAAATACCTACAGGATCGACACATCACTTAAGACCCTAGACATTGTAGCAATGTCTCAAACCTGTAGAATGAGTTGAGTAGGACGCTTGTAAAGGTGAAGAGAAGAACATGCAATAACGAAGAGCGAGTACCCAGAAGTACACAGAAGAAAAACACTTGGATCAAAAGACTGAAATTAAAGGACCAAGTTGATTTAACACAGAAGAATTAAAACAGAATATTGGAGAGGCACCAAAAACTGAATGGGACCAAAAATTTACTGAGGACGTAAGGCATTATTAGTGTCTTGGACTTCATTGATGGGACTGATCAGCACATATCCACAAACATTTAAGGGTTTTAGACTGTTTTCCCTTAAATTTGTTTGGATTCCTATCTTTGAACAAAAATTAAACAACACAGTTTTTTTAGAGTAACCTGTGATGGGTTCTCAGTCCTCAGGAGTGCGCCAGCAATCAATTCTCGGAATTAAGATCTACATCCATAACCACTCGGCCCCCAAGTCAGTTAAGTTACCCAGCAAGAATACACAGCACAAAGTTGGATGAGAAAAATTATAAATAACGCTCAGGTTCACACATAATTTTTACAACTGTAATTAGTGGCAGATACATATCAAACAATGGAGAAAGCAACTTGCATCTTCACAGTAAAGGAATAAATTCTATACATAAATTTTCAAAAAGTTTCTAAAATGCTAAACATGAAGATGTCGATAGAAGAATCGCTGACAGAAAACAACTATTCGATCAGATCAATGTGAACTATGATATGGACTAATGAGAACAACAATGAACTTGGAACTGGTAAACCTGACATAGCAACAATAACAATAACAATGGTGGGAATGAGCACAATTGGAAGGTGGGTGTTTGCGGCACGTGGCAGCATCAAACTACTGCTGTTCTACTAATAGTGCCATGTACCATTGACTTTGGAAACTGCAAATAAGTACTATGTAGACGTATTGTTCTATTGAACAATTTGGAGCCTTTTTCAATGTGTGTTTCTGCTCAGTTTTATTTGAGTGTGCATCCATACAGATTTATCATTTTATAGATCAGCCGATGGCAATTTCAACTGCTGTATGATCCTGTTTGGTTAGAGGGTTTTTTGTGGTTTACTGTTTATACCTACTATTTACCAATTTATAAACCATTTTGAAACCATTAGTTGTTTTATTCTATTATAACTAAAGAATACTTTCTCTAATAGGCTACTTTTATATTAAATGGCGAACATACAAAAGTAGGTATTTTAAGCCAAGTATGAATGGAGATGAGTGTGGGATGAGTGGCGCGATCTTGTAGTCTTGTTAGTGACTAAGGCCCACATTCCTTAGACAAGCTGTTAATTAATAGCCCATACAGCTAATGGCAACTAAGGGACCTACAGTTTATAGTGGAATCCGAACCACATTTTCGGCTTGGTATACGAATTGGTCTAATTATCAGGATAGTACTGCGGATAGTCGTAGTACTCACTCATGTGGACATTAATCCACACCAGGGAGTATCGCATCCACAGCGCATGCCTATGGATATCCACAATTTGTGACCTCCTAGTAGCTGGATTACAGGACGCCACCCGACCCAGTCATAAAGTAAGTGTAATAAAGCAAGTGCGGTAAAAACCATCCGAAATAAGAGGAAAACATAGTCAACTCACTCAATTGTTCTCACCAATAAGAAACACACCAAAACAGGGCTTCAGATTATAATAATAGGGTGATAAGTCTCCTAATGGTATTGAAAGTCATTTACTTCTCTTTCTAATGTAAAATCTCAAACATGTTGTTTTGATGTTTGTTTCTATTTACATTTAAGCATAGATAAAACATTCTCTAAGTTTGTGGTTAAAAGATTTTTTATGGTTAAAACAATTCAAGCTTGGCTTGAAATAATTGGATTTTAACAGTTTTTTTAAGGAACAGATGATTTTAGTCGGTACCTAAGCTACACATTTCACTCCATTCAAAATCATCTCTGAAGTGAATTCATATGCAACTTAAAGCATCCCCACAAAGTTGACTGGGGTGTGACTGAAAAAGGTGACTGAATAAAGTGTGTGATTTTCCTTCCACCATCGTGTGAGTGAGTGTACTGGCTGGAAATATTTTCTTATTAAATTATCAATTTTACAGAATTTGCTGTATATATTTTATTTTAGTAAATCTATGATTATATTTTTATACTATTGAAATACAATAAGCACCTCATGCTTCCAATTGTGTTTATTTTAGTATACTATGATATTTAAATTACGAATATATTAACTGCTTAGTACTGCATAAGTGAAGTCGGTCTGTTTCATTAAGTTGATTGCCAATTCATCAGACAGGAGAATTAGATGAGAAGACAGACAAGGTTAATCTAATGATCCCAGGGAACCTAGCTTTTGTTCAGTGTCTAAAAAGAGGCAAGAGCGATTTTCTTATACCAAGACACTGTTATTAATTTTTGACTTAGATTTACTTTCATTTGAATTTATAAAATGTAATATTTAAAATCTCTTCTTTGATTTGAATTTATATGTACACAGTGTTCTTTTTTCTAACTGACAGCTGCCTAAAATACTTGGAAATAATTTATTAATATTATAAATTATAATTCATGGTATTTGCTTTTTAAAAGTACTAGAGGTCGAAAAATCAACCAAAAATATGTAATGTTCAGACTTCTCTATTTTCACCCCATCGCTGTAAAATATGTGATTGGAACCGAATTTCTTCCATTTGTTTTGGTTTTCTGTTTATATTTCGTTGTTTTTTATCACCTGCATGGCAACCCATAATAAGGCCCATGTTAATTTAAGTTTTAAATTAATTTTTGTGCTTATTTTTGAGCCTATTTTAATAGGTAAAGGGATTCTACACATCTACAGGAAAATATCTTGCCAACAGTAGGCTATGCATAGATTTTCCCTGTGATGCACACGAGCTGAGAAAAAAGGTTTCATGCTTGCCTATATAGATGGATTTAAAATATTTTTTAACAAAAATCTTAGATTATAATTCCACCTTAGGTTAAACAAACCAATATAACTAAATTATCATAATCAAAATATGTTATGAGAAAGTATACCTACCATCCTGAACCGATTTTGTTTTAAACTGAACAATTGCAATAGGTACTAATACTGTAGCCTATTGTACAATACTTGTATTATATTTCACTTAGGTTTATCAATGACACACCTCCTATGGACATGAACAAAAAAAAAAGAATACTATATGAAGTGTACTTTACACCATCATTGTCATTATTATTGTTTGGCTTTAAGTGTTTAAGTACAAAGGGTTCTCCAATACATAGAGTATTCATGCCTGAAAAACTTATGGTTTTTTTAAGACAGGTGAACTCAAAATGAGTCATAGGATTACCACATAGCTAAAATCCATTGGCGATTGGCTGGATTCAAACCCAAATCCCCAGGACATAAGTCCTGTCCTACCCAATTGACTAGCCCCGCCCCAATCTCATTAAACACACTCTCAAGTGCAATTCCTACCTTTGGAATGTGACCTTGAGTTTCAAAGCTATTTTACATACTCAGTTAACAAGTGAGCCAGTGAGTCATTCATTGACATTAGAAGTGTCATGTAGCTTGCCCGCTTGCCTCAGTGTAACATGAAACTGTGACTCTCACCTACTTATTTTGCTGATATAGCTTTCTGCGGAAAGCACTTGAGTCATTCTTGTAACCTAGACCTACAGACCTATTAAGTTGGTTGATCTAGTCTGCCTGTCGAGTAGGCTAACTTGTACCACAGAAAATTTATATTTCTGGTGGTGGTAAATATTTATTTATTAGAAACCGCAAAACTAGTTTGGCAATTGGGCAAGGAATATAAAAAAATTAAAATGTGACAACAAAGGTTTTTAGGCAACTTACATTATTTGCTGTAAGGACATAGGAAACTCAGGATATATGGAATCTATCATCAATAGGTCCTCCATGTAAAATAATGTACATTATAAAAGGCTTACAATTCTTTTCACGATTTACATTTGTAAATTTAATAGTTTTTATTTCCAAATCCCTAAAAATATAATATCCTTTTGAAAGTAGCAGTAGCATAAAGATTAACTGATAGAATAATTATTACATCTATGGCAGTATTAAGAAATTGTTTAAGTTTTGTTTATTTTTACAGTGTGTCAAAATTGGACTGGCTACCAAATTAAATTATGAATCTACATTGAATGGACTCGTCATTGGGTAAAATATGTATCCTATTATGTATATTTGCATTTAGCAAGTAACAATGAAGGCGGGATATTTGGGAGGCTGTGACAATGTCGTTTGTTTCCGGCAGTTTCCGGTGTCCGCTGTCCAGCTAACCGGAAGTAGAGTGCGCTGCGAGGGGGAGGCAAAGTATAAAATGTCATCTCGTTTTACATTATGGAGTTGGAAACTCTTCACTAAATATTAAAAAATGTTAATGGATGGTGTAAACATTTTTTAGATTGCGGGAAGCAAGATGGAAAAGTTATCTTGATTGCAACAACAATATTACCTATATTAAAAGCTTCCTGATGTCAAATATGAAGCTGATGCCGAATTTACATCATGTACCACCGTTTTATCCGTTCAAGGCTCATGAACAGTCGGTTCACAAAATGTAGGTGGTTTTAGAGAAATAAATCTATCTCGTCTCATTGAACCTACCCTTAAAAATAGCTTAAAAGCTGAGGTTTGCCTAAACGTCAATCAGCTACAACAAATAAGTAGGAAGGGAACTTCCCCTCAAACCGCCAAAATTTAGAGAACGTCCAAACGGTTCTGGCTAATGAAAAAGCCGATCTTAAACAAAATTATACACAATGCATCCCACTCCATTCTACACTC